CTCAGCAGACGTCTCCCCAAACGCGCCCTCTCGAATCTTCTCCTCCTCCTCATCCTTGTCGCCAGCATCGCCCTCAATCTCCTGGAAACAGCTGCCATCGCGCCAGTAGTTCTGCAGCATGTTCGTAAAGTACGTCTTGTGCGTCTCGACACCCTCGACCAGGGGTACGTTAACGCTGTACAGGTCCACCTCGTCACCCGCAGGCCACTGCTGGTACAACTTCTCAATGACCTTGACCGAGTGCCGCGCGGCGCCCTCAATGATGACAGGGTCGTGGTTCCGCGAGAAGAAGGCGTAGCTCAGCGCAATCGCCTTACTCTTACACACCGCGGCTTCGAGGGCGCCGCCCAGCGTGCCGGAGCTCAGCGCGAACACGGCCGTCGTGTTGCGGCCGTAGTTGGGGCCGCTGACGACCAGGTCGACGGGCCCGCGCTCCTGGAAGAAGTGGTGCAGGCCGATCTGCACGCACGACGCCGGGGTGCCGTCGACGAGGATCCACTCGTCGTCGGCGCCGTTGGCAGAGGGCCGGGTCGTGGTCGTGCCCTCGGTGCCGAAAAGTCCCTCTGTGGAGGGGCGGTAGTAGAGCGGCTTGACGGTCTGGCCGATCATGTGTGCCTTGCCGATCCAGGAGCGCTGGGTGTGCGGGAGGCAGACGGAGACGACATGGCCGGCTTGCTGGAGCTGGTGGACGAGGGAGTGGACGTAGGGGGAGGAGTGAGGTGATGGCGGGCCGTCGTCATTGGTGAGGAGGATGTGCATGGTGAGAGCTGGCGTATGCTTTGCGCTGTTGAAGTGAGTCGAGTTGAGGTGAGTTGAAGGTTGGTTGGTAAGGTGAGGTCTGAAAAGGGAGTTGAAAGTCAAAAAGATTTCGGAGTTGAGGAAATTGCCCCGCGGCAAGACGTGGATGGCGGGTCTTGGCTTAACACTAAGGTGCTAGATGACCACGAGACTCTTTGAGCACGAGTTCGAAACTTTAGACAAAAGTCACTTGATGTCGTGAACACCAGTAAATGCTATGACTTTCAAGGTGTGGAAGATGAATTGCCACCTAGTAAGTGAGTTCCTGGATGAAGGAACTCGAGACAGACTCTCAGAGCGCAAAGTGGGATGGAGGGGTTGCAATAGTGGGGCAAGTTGACGTCTGCTGGACACGGAAGGATACCCGGTGCCCGCTCTCGGAAGGGAACGGCACCTCCAGCCAACGTCGGGCCTTCCCACATCACCGACGTGGTCAGGCTCTTTCTTGGCTTACATGACCATCCGGGGTGAACGATTCATCGCAAGAGTATTCTCTAGCTGTACATAATGTTACGAACTTGTTTGTGATCGAGATTCACTTCAAAATTCACAGGCAGTTCAGAGACGCAATGATGCTATGTAAAATCGTTCTTGTTGTTCGTGTTGTCCTGGTCTGCAGACTTTTGAGAGCTGATCGCAGCCCCCTTCCTACACGCAATCTCAGCCCTTGGTGGAAGGCTTAATAAACGCCGTAATCCCAATCCTTCCTCGCAGGCTTTACAAATCTGATCCCATGCCCAGTGAAACAAAAAGTCTACCCTAGTGAGAAAAAGGGCACCTGGCTGAGGATACCGCTGGTATCCCGCAGCCACTTTTTCCCTTGTCCAGAGAGTGAAGTGAAGTAACCATTACACAAAATCCTATCGAGAATTGTGCTTTCCTCCACCCATAATCCTGATCGAAGCCAAGTAATGACCCAGACTCCAAGTCGCTGGGTCGCGCAACGATCGATACTCAAAGATGAATTAATCGTACAAGTATGAAATCAAGTACGAGTTCGCTTAGGAGCAGAAGCTTCGAGCTCGTCGCCCGCGCGCTTTGTAGCACTGCTTCCATGGCGGCTCTTGACACGCGGCCAGTCGTCAAAGGGACTCGCACGAGTCTTGCGTTTGATCGGTGAAGCTTCTTCCGCCTTCAATCCCGAGCGGGTGGTGCGTCTGGTCGACGGTGGGGTTGCGACCGTCTGGCCAAACTTGGGTGCCTTGGGAGTTGCTGGAGCCTCTTCCTCGATCTCGGCCGGGGTCTCTGGCGCTTCCTCAACCTCGTCGTTGTCGTCGTCCTCGAGATGGTGATCTTCGATGTCGGTAATAGCTTCCTCTTCCTCGAGAGTGATACCTGTCGCAGGGGCCTTAGCTGCGACAGGGAAAAGTAGGCGCGGCTTGATGGCAGAACGCGTGAGCGGTCTACGAAGGCAAGATTCGCTTGAGCTGCCCTCTTCGTCGTCTTCATCTTCGGGCTCAGCGAACTTGCGGAAGATCTTCTTTCCACGGCTGTGATGGCGGTTAGCGGAATTCTTTCCTTTCCCTTGCAGATGCGCGAGTCGACTTACAAAACATACACCATGCCGTCCTCACGCTGAAGCGCATCGTCAACGCCTTGCGCTGCTTCTCCTGGAATCGCGACTTTGCGCTTGCTGCGGCGGCGCGGTGGCTCTCTGTCGACGGTGACGCTATCGCCATAAAACGGGTTTTCCACGCTGGAATCGGGCACAGGAATGCGGTCTTGCGAATCGGTGAAGATCTCGATTTTCTCTTCTACTTCGGTGGCCGTGAAGCTCTCCAACGAATTGCCGGAATACTTCTTCGGGGTGCGCTTTTTCTTGGGTGTAACCATCGTCTCGTCGTTTGCGAATAGATTGCGCGCGACCGACTTGATGTGCGCAGTTTGCTTCTCAGTAGGTGCCTTCTTTGGCGTCTTGGCTGGAGTGGGCAGCATACCGCTGCGACGAGTCGAGGCGGTGTGGTTCGATTGGCGATCCATCCTGTCAATACCCAGCGACGACGCAGCGTGCGATGAGCTGTCGGCGGTTAAGAAGCCAGAAGCGCGGCGAACGGAATCTTGGGCAGGTTGGCGCTTCTTTTGAGGTGTAGGGGCAGGCGACATGATGGCTGCGGCGGCGGAAGGTGCGATCGGCTTGCGAGTTGATCGAGGAGGAGTGCGGTGAGTTGGTGGTTGCGGAGAAGGAGTTCGGTTTGCAGCTCGACGAGATGAAATACGTGCCGACTTGCGAGGAGAATAAGGCTCCCAGTTGTCGCTCCAGCCGTGTCTGGGTGTCGGTGGTGTGCGAATGGAAGGAGGAGGTGAAGGTGTTGATGCTGCGAAGGCGGTGGCCATTGTGTCGAAAAGGGCAGGCAGGCAGCCCGGGTCGTCTAGTGGTGGTGTACCGTTCCTTCCTATTCAGATTTCTTTGACTTTAATTGCGCATGCAACTTTTGATCAAGGTGAGAAGGCGCGCGTATCGTTTTTTTTCTTTCTTTTTTAGCGTCGGGTTGTGGTTGCCGCCAAGGTGAGGTGGTGATGATGTTGGAGGGGGATAAGATGATGTAGGTAAAAGACTCTTAATGGACTCCGGCAATCAGAGTATCAAGAGATGAAGCGACCTGATGAGTTCGAATAATACTAAGCAACTGCACAGAGGTTAAAACGGTTCAGTTTGTGATGTCTCTGGTTGCTCTGGCTACAGGTGATGTAAGTGAGAAGTGGATGTGTGGAATGGGATGGATGATGTTCGTGATCATGGGGCGGCAGTTGGGATGCAAAAGGAAATGGTCTCAAAAAACGTGGGAAGAGGCTGGAGGCTGGGAAATGTAGAGGCTGGGGACGGGATGAGGTGAGGGTGAGCCGAGCGTTTTGCAGCGCACCAGCCCCAGCCCCCCCGTTTTACACCTGCACCTCACCACTCAAGCCTCATTTCTCTCTTCAAATTAAGCGAACCCCACCACAGCAGCGGGGACGCGTCGACTACTCAGGAGACGCGAATTTTCGCGTAAAATCAACAGCGCTCGAATGAGCGAGCACTGTCACTACCCAGGTCCATACTTCCATTATGACTTGAGCTGTTGTAGTAAAGCACAGGCCATTTTACACCTAATCGCACCTGTAGTACCGCAGTGTCCCCACTCCTGAGTGCCCCTCACTCGTTGCATCCCACATTTTCCCCCAAGCGGCCGGACACCTCTAAACCAAAAGTCTTGATCCATCAACAAATAACGTCACACTCCATCTTGCGCCGCGCTTCCTGACGGTAGGTTAGACAAGCTAGACCACGCTTCAAACGGACGTCCTCTCATCCAAGTCTGGATCGACAATCGCCAAATAAGGCAAAGCCACAACCTATCTGTAGCTGCAACCGAACACCAAGTGCCCCTACTACCATGGCAGACTACACCGACGATTCCATCACGGAGGACATATGGGCATCCCCTGACCCCGAGGGCAGAGGTGCACCTCCCTCCGAGCGGCCCGAAACCCCTAGAACACCAAAGACCCCCAAGACACCAAAGACGCCCGCAAACCAGACCCAGAACGTCCCTTATGACAGAGAGGCTTCTTTGCGGAAAGAATTGGAGGGAGTGCGGAACATCAATGCTGCTATTGAAGGCATAATCAGCACCCTTGACAAGGCCAAGGGCAACATGAATGTGCGCCGCCCTGCGAGAAGCTTCTTTGATGTAAAACCAGCTGACCTCGCCCGCGCCCTCTAGACTGTTGGCAGCACCGTGTCAAACGCATCCACCCTCCTCAACACCTGGACCCGAATCCTCTCCCAAACCGAACACAATCAGCGACTCATTCTAAACCCCAACTGGCAAGGTGCAAGTAACGACTTGGTACAACTGGAGGCAGAGACTCTACAGAAGCAGCAGCTTGCCGAGAGACGGGCGGCTGAAGAGGAGAGGCGGCGCGAGGCGGCTCGTCGGAAGAGAGAGGAGGAAGACGAAGAGCGACAGAGACAGGCGGCAGTCGGCAGTGCACCACGTGGCCGGGGAGTTTCTCGTGGGCGTGTGCGAGGCACCTCTTCGACGACCCGCGGACACAGCTACTCGACTAGCACGTCGAGGATCGGCAGAGGCGCGGCGAGCGTTCGCGGTGGCTATCGGGGGCGTGCTAGAGGTACGGAGTAAGGGGACGATACATTTTGTTTGTGAACCAGTACCGATACCCAACAATGAATGCATTCAAACGGTTGGCCGCCGGCTAGCCTATTTCTTCTTGAAGAAGTCGCTCATCTTTTTCATACCTGTGGTGTTGACCTTGCTCAAGGCCTTCACGCCTCGCGTTTGGCTGGCCTTCTTCTTCTTTTCCTCTTCCATCTTGCGCTTCTTCTCAGCGCGGGCCTCCTCCTCTTCCTCGTCGAGCATGCGCTTCCTCGAGTAGTCAGCCATCGAGCGGGACGAGGCAGCTTCTGCGCGAAGCTTGGTGAGTTGGACCAAATATTCGTCCAATGGCGAGAAGTCGACACCCGAAGTTTCCTTGTCGTTAAGGAGCTTCTTAAGAATCAACGACATGCTTGGCGCAACATAGCTCGAGCAGATGAAGCTGAAGGCAACCTTGAGCCGTTGCAAGCTGGTCACCTCGGCGGATGCTTGGATAGCACTAACGACGGTTTCTTCGGATGGTTGTCCATCGACAGACGTGGCTGCTGTGGAAGCATTGGATGCTGCTGAGGCTTTGCTGTCGACAGTTGAGACGGATGACTGGGATTCGCCAGATTCGTTCGAGGCTGTTGACGTATTCGCCTCGTTCGCAGCCACTTCCACCTTGGCAGCTTGTGACTTCTGAACTTGAATAGGAGCTTCCAAGACTTTCTTGACAAACTTCTCGTCCATGCTGGCAGGAAGCCCCTTGGAACTCATAGACCGTGCCTTTGCCAGAATCTCAAGGACAAGCTTCTTCTCGCTCAGCCGGTACATCTTCTCATCGCCAGCGTCGACCGTATCACACACAACTTCCATGCGTGACTCGAGGAGCGCTCTCGTCTTGGGGCATCGCAGAGCTTCGGACATGTGAGAAGACGAAGTCGAGACTGCATCGAAGTGGTCGTCGCTGGAAAGGAACAGTCGCTTCGTGTCTATTGGCTTCGCGGTGCCAAACAGGCCTGGAACGAGGAGGAATAGAGGGTCCACGGCTGTCGCGACGAAAAGGTCGGCGCCATTGGTGACTTGGGCTTCAAGCCGAGATTCGTCCTTTACGTCTGACTCCTCCAGCGTGCCAGCGGGTATCTCAATCATCCAGCTCCTTGGTGTGGTCTTCGGCGCAGCAACCTTTGTGAACTCATAGATGCCTGTCTCCGGGCAAAGCAGGTAGCGGGTGGGCTTGGAGTAGCGAGGGTTGGGAAGAGAGACTATGCGAGCCTCACGGGTAGCTTTATGGGGGATTATGAACAGCTGAGGAGCACTTGACGACTCTTCGGGTAGCGTGTATTTGGCCGTCGAAGAGGCATTGCTCAACTCGGTCTTTGCCGCCGGTGCGGCTTTGGTCGCTCTTGTTCTTGCCATGACGAAGATGGTGTGTGTATACGAATTAGGTTGATAATGTTCAAGGAGTGATTTGCATCAAAACAGACCAATTGACCCAGAAAGAACGAAAATCGATTGTGTGAGAGGTGTAAAGAAAGATCTGGTGGTGCGTTGAAGGTTGAATGGGAACAGCCAAGCTGATGGTAGTCAAAAGTGAGTGGGACGAAGATACCTGGTACTTTCCTCTGAGATCGGTCGTCTTTGGACTTGGAACTTAATAGGACCCTTTCTGTCTGTGCTGTGCCTTCACGCGACGACGCGCCAGGTTCAATTAGAAAGTGGATCGCGTCGTCTGGGGCTTGACGCGACCACAGCCAATGGTAACATGGCAAAGCCATCCACTACTCCACGTCAAACTCCTCTTCTCAGGCTAGTCTGACCAGGCTTATCGTGACGACGAGGTTCAGATGCGACAATTCGATAACGATTTCGAGGCATTCTTACCGCACTACCTTATTCGCACTCTTGCTTTATTTTGTTTTAGGCGGTCATTTGGCTCACCAACTTCGACGTCACTCCTTTAGCCGCATCTCACGCCCTTCTCATCGGTCGCTATCGTCTCCTTTTCTTTGTCCGCTTGCTGTTTATTTGCCAGCACAGACCCCTCGTCTCGACTTTCATTCGAGTCTTGCGCCAGACGAAGCTGACAAGGCCGGCTGGCGGGTCATGGGCTTGTGGCGTTAAAGCTCCATCAAGCGGTCTTTTCCGGAAGGCGGACTGGACATACGACAGCTACACCCTCGACTGCACCATTGTGATACCCCGGCAAGATGCCTCCTGGTTCGTAATGAATGGACATTGTGAAACGATCAACATCATAACATCAACGTAGCCCCCCCGCCCGACGAGCCTCAATGGCCTCCCCGATCTCCTCACGAAGCCCTCATTAGCACCCCGAGCGGTCGCGAGCGCCTCAGACGTCTCCAAAATCGAGGATCACCCTCTCCTTCGCCGCTGAAGAGGGGGCGAGCGAACTCCACATTATCTACACGATCGGCGAATTTGATCGACGAAATGGACGACCAGGAGGATGAGGATGAGGAGACACTTCAGTTGAAGTTACAGGAGATTCAGGCAAGATTAAAGTTGAAGAAGTTGCAGAGCGCAAGAGAAAGGACGGAAGCAGCTCCATCGACTCAAACGCGACCAACCTCGAAAGGTTTTGGAGTTGGCCGGGCACTATCCCGACCTGAACCCCAGGCCACCATCGAGGTGCCTGTGTCTCCAATCCGAAAGACTCAGCCCGTACCACCGAAAGCATCGCCGACCCGGGTTGCGCTTGGGATCGACAAAGAGATCAAGAGAGCACCAAGTGTGTTGCGCAGGAATACAAATCCTCAAGATGGGCAGCAGCAGTTCGGCGGTTATCTTCAAAGGTCACGAACTCCTGCGCAACAAGAGATCTCACGGCCACTGAGCTTCAATGAGAGGCTGGCTGCAGCAAGAACACAAGAAGTTGATCGCCAGGGCTTGAGGGAAAGAGTCCAAAAGGTCAGATCGGAAACCTTTGATATTGGGCAGAAGGAGATTGAGCAGTTCAAGGAAAAGGCAATCGACATTCCCGAGCAAGAGGAAGCTGCGCCTAGTTTCTCCAGAGATGAGATCCTTGGTGGAATGAGCAGAGCAGAACCCAACCAGCGCAAGCTAGACGCGATACCTGCGCTTCCAGCACCATCATCCTCCAAATATGACGATGACCCGCAAGGTCTCTACGAGCCTCCACCGGACTGGATGATGGCTGGAAAAAAACCACAGAGACCGAAGAACGTCGCGCCAGCAGACGTGCCAGAGGCCGAAGCATCGGCATTCGAACCGTATTCTAGCTTTCATCTCTCGCAGCGCATTCTTCCCCACCAAGTCTTGACAAGGACTCTGTCCGGGAAGAAGATATTCAAGTTGCCCGACTTGCTGCGGAAGGTCAAGGCTCCAGAGTTTCAGCTTCCAGATATAGAGCAGGACATTGTTGTCTTCGCCGTCGTCGCAAAGAAGTCAGAACCCCGCTCTCACAAGCCTCGGGCTGACCAAAATGGCAAGCAATCAGACCGAGGGAAGTACATGGTCGTCACATTATGCGATCTGAAGTGGGAGCTTGAGCTTTTTCTCTTCAATTCGGGATTCACCCGATTTTGGAAGCTCACAGAAGGCACAGTGCTGGCAATTCTGAACCCGACCATTATGCCTCCTCCAGTTGGCCGGGAAGCCACTGGCAAGTTCAGTCTAGTCATCAACTCCGATGCTGACACAATTATGGAGATTGGAAAGGCCCGAGATTTGGGATTTTGCAAATCCATCAAGAAAGATGGTGAATTCTGCAACTCCTGGGTCAACAAGAAACGAACCGAGTTTTGCGAATTTCATACCAACGAGGCTGTCTCCAAGCAGCGAGCAAGCCGCATGGAGGTCAACACAATGGATTTTGGCGGTGTTGGAGAGAAGTTCAAGTGGAAATCGAGACAGCTCGTTAATCCGGAGCCAGAGAAAAAATCAGGGAAATACGACCGAGAAACACATAGCCATTGGTTCGCTACGAAATCAATGAGTTCTGCATCACTCATTGACGGAGGCCAGGCACTGATGGACAGGAGAGAAAAGGAGGAGAATCTGAAAAGAAGGATGATTGCCCAAGAACGCGAGAGGGGCATCATGTCGCGTCTGAGTAAGATCGGCGCCGGCACTGGAAAGGAGTACATGCAACAAACAGACCGCAACCGTAATCCTACTTCCGGGTCAAGCTTGTCGTCATCCTCGTCAGCTTCGAACGTACTCGGGGCGCGACAGAAGCCTGATATGAAGAGTTTAGGCATCATGCCGAGGAATAGGGAACTAGCCCTTCATCTCAGCCCTATCAAACGCAAGAGACCACAGAGCGCACAGTCCAGCTCCTCGGTCGGGGCGCCGTCGTCGGCGACGGCCACGACAGGGGTAAAGACGGGTTTTGGATGGGGCGGCAACCTCAAGGACAAGCTCGCCAAGATGAAGGAAGGCGAAAAGCTGAATAGCGATAAGCCGCCAGTAAGGAAGAAGACGAGATTCGTGACGGAGAAGGGAATTCGCGAGGCTGGGAGGGAGAGTCTGGGTATGGACCTGCCGCAGGCGGTTTCTTTTGAAGATGACGATGACGACGATTTGATTATTGTGTGAAAGCAGCATCTTTTTGGGAACGGGTTCATGCGAAGGCGACACCGGTTGGACGGGCGGAACGGGAAGGCATGGGCTTGAGGTTACACAGGAAGTTTTCCATATGACTCCTGGATGGAGTCCGCTTGAAGCGATCACCGTTACCAAATTCAGGTTACAGAAAAGGGTTTCAAGACAGAATATCATGTCAAAAAAGACACTATTTTGATCACAGTCTGGTCGTTTATTTAGTATTTCGTGTGATCACACCTGGCTAAGGTAAGGTATAGTAAATTGCCTCTCTCTGCGTTACATCAATGATAAGACCGAGGAAGCGTATCCATCGCTATTTAGCTTCACTTGAGCATATGATCCTCATCAGGGCGATATCTGAGGATTACACGGGGAGGTGAATGTGACTTCCTTGAAATGCCTCTCATTCACCATTCAGCTTCTTGTAACTCGTCTCTCTAGCCATAAATCGTCAATCATACTCAGTATCTTCACCAAGAGAGTCCTAAGCTGTCTCCTTTATACATCAGAAGCCAATAAACCTTTGACTCTCCCTGGTAAGAGCACTCCAAAACAACAAACATCACACAACAAAATGAAAAGACAACATGCTACCCTGCCCGGGCTACGGGCCGCGGCAGTCGCTCTTCTTGCCGCTCGAAACGTAAAAGCTACCGAAAAAGTCTTCTGCGCCAACGCAGAAAACATCGTGGTTCACCACAAGAGCTGCGATGACCCCCCCCCCCCGCGGCACCTTCTTCTTGTTCGCCGGTGAGGAGGACCGCATGATTGGCAGCGCCGTCGATCCAAAGGTCGTCGATCTATACGACAGTGCTGATTTTATCGACCGCAAGTACGCTAAAGAGCAGCGTGAGCTACAAGAACGAGACTTGGAGTCAAGAGGCTTTGGAAGTGTGACGCCACGGGTGTGCGGTAGCTAGATTGACAGTGAGAAGAACAATTGGAAGCAGAGAATAAGGAAAGAGGAACCGGCAAAAGAAGGGGCCAAAAGAAAACCAAAAAGAAGCTGCCTGTGGCCTTATGTAGGACCACCAAATTCGAACTCGCGCTCTTGCCGAAACCAGGCATTACCTTCCATCACTAGGTCATATACACACCAGGCGGTGCTTCTTGCCTTACCACTGCGAGTGAATTGAATATAGGGCCTCGGTGACTATTGTGTTGTATTCCATGCGAGCATACTGCGAAATATGAGCATCTGAGTATACGTGTGTGAATATCATATGCGGACCCCTACTGTCAGGTCTTCGACACAGCTACATAGCTCGGCGGTCTTGCCTCTTTACTCTTCCCCCAATCAGACTCTTTATCTCCCAGCGTCAGTTCCAATGTCTTCCCCTGACTGAAGAACTCATGTCCGATCCAACTCTTGGTATACGCCTCCCCGTCCAGCTTGGCACTCTGCACGTAGATGTTCTTGTACGCAGCATCGAACCCGACACATTTAATGGTGGCACTCTTCCCCGTAACCGGACTTTTAACACTAACTTCCTCAAAGAACGGCGGCGTAATGAGATACACGTTCTGTCCTGCGACCGGGAATAGGCCCATGACGGAAAATGCAAGGAAAGCCCCCATTGCGCCCGAGTCGTCGTTACCTGGCAACCCGCCACGCGAGGAGTTGAAGGCCGAGGGGATGTACTTGTGGATGCGTTCCGCTGAGAGGCCTGGGCGACCGGCGTAGTGGTAGAGATATACAGTCAAGAATACGGGTTCATTGGAGATGTCGGCTAGTGGCGATGCGTGGAAGTAACTGAGGCGGGAGACGAAGGCATCATCGCCGCCCATAAAATCGATGAGGGTTGACGTGGAGTGGGAAACGATACTGGAGACATATCAGCTAGATTGCAATCGTAACTAGTCGTAGGAGGGTACTGACAATTGATATTGCCAGATGCTCGCCTCGAACGTCTCGCTCGGATTTGTCGTCAGAGAGCAGAACCCGGCGAGATTCGAGCAAGCTATGGGATCTTGGAAGCCCCACGTTCCATTCATGTACTTGGGTTGGAAGAAGCCAGAGAATCCGGTGTCGGTGCCATTGATCAAAGATTTCTGGTCTGCTTTCCACAGATTCTGCCAGTTCATGCTTCTCGAGATGTACTTATCGTGTAATTGGCCCTCTCCTAGTCCCTGAGCTAGAGTCGCAAGGCAGTAGTCGTTGTAAGAGTATTCTAAAGTCCTCGTCACGCTCCGTGAATTTGTACCGAACCCAATTGGATCAAAGTCTAGATACGGGATATAGTTGAGGGTCTTCCAGCTTGTGAGGCCGCCGCGTCCCTCATACGACCACTCCAAGGGCTCGTCCTCGGCGTCTTTTGTTATGGCCGCGAGGGCCACCTTCCAGTCTATCGAGGTCAAGTTTTTGACGTACGAGTCAACAATGACGACGTCGGCGTTGGAGCCTCCTTGAGTCCAGCCTTTGCAGAGAGACATGCGGCAGTCTGGCAGCCAGCCTTCGTGCTTGTAGATGTCGAGCATGGAGTTTACCATTTGCGCCTGAGCTGCCGGGTCGATAACGGTAAGCAGAGGGTGCTGGGCACGAAAGCTGTCCCACATGCTGCATATGGTTAGAAAAGGAGAGCTGGAGACATGGAATGGATGCTTGCCAGTAAAATGAATCAAAGTAAGGGATCCCGCTATCCCAATGCGGATTCTCACCAGTATAGTTCTGAGGAGAAATCATGTTACGGTATAAGCCGCTCCAGAAACTCTTTTGCAAGTCTTCCGTTGCGCCAGCCGCCTTGACTGAAATGGGGCTCAGTTTCTCTCTCCAGGCATCCTTTGCTGTCTTCACCAGCGTGTCAAAGTTGTTCAGCGGATCCGGTATCTCCTTCTCTGCGTTGCGGCATGCCTGATCACTGCTCTTGAACGAGACTCCCACCCTGGCCGTAATAGTGTCGTTGGCCAGCTCCTTAAAGCGCACGAAGCCGCCGCCCTCGAGATAAAACAGGTTGAAACCTCTTGTGATGAACAGCTCCTTGGGCTCGTTACCAGCTCTGTTATTGACCCATACCCCAGTATCAAAGACCTTGGCTCCAAAGAAGTCGACGCAGTAGTGAAGCTCGTAAGACCCAGCACCGAAGCTAGGCAGGAATGTCCCGTTTCCAAACATTCGCCCTGTGGGTGTGTCGACCTTGATTGACGCATTCTGCCTACTCGCCCAAAGATCCGTCAAGTCCAACAGCACGAGAGGGTGCTCGTTTCCGCCGCTCGGGAACTTGAATCGCATGAGCGCCGCGTGCTCAGATACCGTCATGTCCGCCTTCACGCCAGACGCCAGCTCGACAGAGAAGTAGCCCGGCTCGGCGATAGTCTTATTCACGTCATGCTGCGTTGCCCGATCTCCGATGCGGAATCTACAGTTGTTGAGCTCGTCGCCGGGGCAGATCTGCGGGAAGAGCGGGAAGTTGCCCAAGCTGGGGTTTCCGCCGGTACCGCTGTCGTGGACGATACTGAAGCCGGTGATGTTGCTCCCGTCGGTCGAATAGCCACCCGTCTTCTCCCCGTCGACATCGGCTACGGCCTTGGCGAGGCCGTACGGTAGTGTCGCCCCGGCGAAGACGTTCCCGCCGCGTTGAGAGCCGATCAAGGGGTCCACGAAGGCCAGGGGATCAAAAGATTGGCAATATCCCGCCTCTACGAAGGCAATGAGTGATGCAAGGAAGCGCATGGTTTTACATGCGACGAGAGCACCGCGGGGATAAATGGACAAACTAATTCTAGAACGACATTCCCGAAGCTACGCCGTTTGTGTCGAAGTTGAGATTTGGATTTCCGACTGAGCCTTCAGAGAGCTCGATTTCATTTCCTTCCATTGCCTTGCCTCATGCATGATGACCGGACGGCAATCCCGGCCGCAACATCGTCCGACTTGATTAGCAAACTTTAGTTCTTGACCCCGCACAAAGGCTCTATGCGGTAGGTGGTACTAGGTTCGACGATCCCGTGTGGAAGATCACGGGAATAAAATGAACGTTACATAGAGTGGTTAGCTCAATTGCATCGTTTGGTTCAAGCCGGAATATGGGCAGGGCTTCGCGGGGTCTAAAAAGCTGAGATATGGTACAACCGACACTGTCCTTCTTGTCATTCTCCCTGCTACGCATAGGTACTTGCCCGCTCGCTTCCCGTGCTGAATGCCAAATGCAGCGCCGTACATGGCGTTGGATGATTTCGTAGAATCTTCATCATTGGATCCGTCCGGGATACTGGACGGCACTTGTTCGATGAGTTGATTCAGTCGAGCGCTAACGAACGGCAGAGACCGAAGTCTCACATACCTGCATCGATATGGGAGAGAATGACAAGTGATAGGGGAAGGCTAAACTCAAAAGACAACCCAGAAAAGCGAAGACTAATATATACAATAGGCTGAAGTGAAGCTGGGTTATTTTGACACACCTTCATGTTCATAGGTCTGGAAGATGGTGAAATGCGCGAGGTGTTTATAGAATGTTTCTGGAAACCATCTTGTTTGAAGCTACGGAGTGATCTTCCTGTGGGACCGCACACTGTCAGGCCCCTAGCTCGTGACAGTTACAGGGATAGCACGGCCCCGACACTCCTGATAGGTCCCGTTCATGTCTCGTTCGCAGCTTCTGGCAGCTCTCTCTCTCTCTCTCGTCCCTCTCTACATTTTGTAAGTGGCTCAATATTACTCAGTCCACGTAGTCAGACTGGCAGTATGACAATGACTTTACATAAGTTTATAAGTCCACACGAGGGAGAAGCAATCGTCCGAACGCTAGGCCCATCCATATCAGACGAACTCAATGAACTAAAACGAGACGTTTGGAAGAGCCCCTTGGGAGGTTGTGCGCCCGAAACACTCCATGCTCCAGCTTAGCCCCCGGAAAATCACCCCGTGCAAGATGGAGAAGGACACCTGGAACTTTGAAGTTTAACGACTTCAACTCCACCTCACGGGGTTTTCGCTCTTAATCTTGCCTCTTACCACAATCTCACATTGAAGCCGGCTTCATTTCATACTCTATTCAGTATTCTTCACTCTATATGTCTGCAAGTGTGCAAAGGTTGAGAATCTAGGACCCATTGGCAAGCTAGGTATCCGCCACGATGCTGGACATCTACCAAATCAACCTCGCCGGCCTCCTCCTCGCCTGCGGCGTTCTCTTCGCGTCGGGAAGCCAAGACAAATCCAACACCTCCAAGAAAGATGAGAAGAAAAGTTCTCAGCAGAAGCCAAAGCAGACAGGCTCTCAATGGGCCTTCTACGTCGTCTACGCCCTCGTAATGGGTTCAGACTGGCTGCAGGTAGCTCGCCTCTCATTCTTCAGTTCTAAGGACCGGACCTCCTGACCTGGCTACACTAGGGACCGTTTCTGTACTCTCTTTACAAGAATGAGCACCAAATCTCCGCAGATTTCGTGCCAACACTCTTCACAACAGGCTTCGTCTCCGGCGCTGTGGCCGGCTACTTCATCGGCTCACTAGCCGACCGCCACGGCCGCAAGGCCAGCTGCCTCTTCTTCTGCGCCGCATACGCGCTCTCCTGCATTCTCACCACGATACCCAGTGTCCCATTGCTCTTCATCGGGCGCGTACTCGGCGGCTTGGGAACGAGTCTCTTGTTCAGCGTCTTTGAGAGCTGGATGGTGACGGATTTCCATGCCCGCCATCTGAGCGAGAAGGGCATGGACCTCTCGCGGACGTTCGGTCTGATGAGCACTGTCAACAGCATTGTCGCGATTGTGAGCGGTGTGGTGAGCGAGTGGCTCGTCTCCGTGACTGGGACGCGCAAGTCGCCATTTTTGGCCAGTGTCGGGCTGCTGGTCGTTGCTGCTGGTGTTATTGCCAGTCAATGGGTACGTTGCAACATCTCATCGTATACTATTGCTACTTTCTGACTGATTGGGTGTGAAGGACGAGAACTATGGCTCGGCAGGTCAAGCCTCTTCATCGGAAAAGTCCAACACCAACAAACCTAGTCTTTGGGCCACAATGACGGACAAGCGCGTTCTCACAATCGGCCTCGCCTCAACCATGTTTGAAGGCTCAATGTACCTCTTTGTAGTACTGTGGTCCCCGGTTCTCGTCTCGGCCTCATCCTCACCCGAGACACTGCCATACGGCATCATCTTCGCCTCCTTCATGGCCTCGACCCTCCTCGCCTCTCTCCTGTACCCCCGCCTGCTGGCCCTCGTCTCCACGCCATCCCGGCTGCTGCTATCGGTCCTGTTCGCCGCCAACGCCGTATTCTTCGCTCTCGGAACGGGTGCTCCTCGCGCGGAGCAAGTCACCTTTTGGCTCTTCTGCCTGTTCGAAGCTTGCGTCGGGTTGTATTTCCCCTCGATGGGGTACCTCAAGGGGAAAGTCGTCGATGACGGTGTCAGGGCACAGGTGTACGGTGTCCTCAGAATCCCGCTCAATGTCTTTGTGGTTGTGAGCTTGATGTTCAGCAGCGATGGGCAGGCTGGCAAGGTGTTTCTCGTCTGTGGCATGCTGCTCCAGGCGAGTTGTGGCGCGCTGTGGCTCATGGGTGGACAGGATGTGTAGGTAGCTATCAGTTACATTATCGCCTTCGTGCGGCAGTCTTCTCGTTTTCAATTAGAAATTGTCTTGCCTTGCCCTTGACATGAACAAGAACTTTTATGCCATAGCCCTAGCCGCTAGTCCGACGTGCAAAGATATCCCCATCCTCACCAACTGACGTCTACTTAAGCGCCCGTAAGACACATCAGACGGGCCTTTCGGGCCGTTAAGCACAACCTCGCTCGTTCGCCCTGGTTTTGGGTCTCGTTGTGCCAGGGCTTGGTGTTCTTGTGTCCAGGTATTCATTTTTGACATGTTCTCACGTCCAACGTTCCGCAGTGCATGTGTGCACATCGTGCTTCTTCAAACGAGCAAATGTGTCGCATACAACCCCAAGCGGGCGGAAAATTCAATGTCATCTGACAGATCAGTCAGGCACATGAATAGAAAACGGCAGAGTATGTCTCAAGCGCGAACCATTGACAGGGTTTGTAGGTGTTCACTATACTATCACTTATCTAAGTACAAAATGCGCCTCACATCATTACCAAACGCCGGACCGAAAGCGACAAGCAGAAGTACCGGCATCCCATTCACTCATGGAGAAACGATAACCTGAAGATTACGAACATATGTGTGTGCGCAAGAAAAAGCCCTCTCTTATCAATCAAATTAGCCATCTAGTAGTCAACTGACAGAGGTCGTAGCATTGCGGGCCGACTCCGCCTAGTACCCAGCGTCGGAAGTTGGTCCGCAGAGTCCGATGGAACGATCTCTTGGTCTTCAACTTCAATCTTCAAACTTGGGACGCGATTGAACGGCATTGTTGTGCCATCCAGCTGTCCAGAAGTTGTTTGTCAGTCTCACATGATCTTGACACTGCGCGTCGTATGAGATGGAAGTAGCTGGGATGGCTGTACTCACCTTGCTAATGACCACTTCCAGCCCGTCCTCAATGCCTCTAAGAACCTCGCTTATCGAAAGACCACGCAGGCCAGCAGCGTCTATACCTCGGTTAAGAGGGATCTCATCATAACTTTTCCCCTGCATGGGCATATCCAGTAACGTGAAAGAGCCCGCCATCGAACCTTTCAAGAAAAGCTGCACTTGGCAAGGCAAACCCAGTTCACTTCTCTCGACTTCGACTTTGGCGACGTACTGCCTCCTCGTTTTGTGCCGCCTGATCCTCGTGGAAGAAGATTGCTGCTCCTGAGGGCCGTACAGACTGTTCACCGTCCTGCTGATCGCCATCTTAATGTCTCCTGGTGTCTGGTCCCAGAACCTCATCGGTGCATACGTGTACCCCCAGTCGCGGACGTGCATGACCGATTCGCTGGTAAGCGGACCACCGCCCGTCCCAGTAAAGGGCCACAAGGGGTACTGCGGGTTGACGGTGGTTCCAGATGGCGTAGCAAACATTTGGGATGAGGTGTAGGAAAAATGCATTGTGGCATTTTCGAAGTGAAGGGCTTGCCAGAAGGCGATGAGCCGATCTACATTGGCATGATGAAGCCAGCTTTGGACACGGATCAGACCTGGCGTCACAATGACGGGGAATAACTTACAACAGAGGTTCGAATGCCGAAGTTGATAGATGGAGGAGATCTTGGCCACATGCGGCCCCGACATGGACTTCTCCATGAGGTCCTTCAAAGTTGGCGCCTTCGTTCTGGGCAGTGACCATCTCATCAAAGGAGGTGGCTCTCAAAAAGACATTATACTGTGATAAATGAGTAAAAACAACCAACTTGAAGAAGTATAAACTTGGTCTTCGGAATCGAGTTCATCAACTTACCACCTTTTCCTTCAAGCCGTACCCCGTGAGCCTCGTGTTCGCTGTATCGGGATAGCTTTCGCCGTCTCCAACACACCGCTTCGTGTAATTCTTTCCATCAAAGCTACCGAAGCTGCCATCGAGAGCCGACTTCGGATAAGTAAAACGGTAGAACGGGTTGCGTACCGCCACTGTATGCACGGCGCCTCCCACAGGCTTCTTGATGACAACTGTGGGCAACGCCGTCACAGCTGGTACCTGGGAGTCCGCTGCCCAGTCCCAGTACGCAACGCGCAAACTTTCCGCAGCTTCAACGTATTCTCGTTTATGAGGTTCCGGGTAAGACACCGCAATGCGCTTGGCGTGGCGGACCAGCACTTGCTGGAACAAATAGTCAGTTTTCCCATGCTAAGTAAGTTTCTATGTGTGTAGGAAATGGTAGCACGAACCTCATAAAGCGAGAGATAACCGCGATGCCAAGTACCAAACAGCCCTTGCTTGTTGGCTATTAGCAAGAAAGAAAAAAAAAAAAGAGAGAGAGAGAGAAGAAAAGAAATTGCGTCCCCAGACTCTGAAAACGTACGTTATGTGGGCAATATCCAGCATCCGCCCCGGCCTGCGGCCCCCCTCCTGACCAGGCCATGTACGGCTGCCCATGAATGCCTGCGACTGTCAGTAGAATGTTCTGATGACGGAGAGGCATTACGGTGACAAACCAGCGACTTGAAAATACGATATGGGATCGGTTTCATTCGCATCCTGCATAGCCGTGAGGGCTCCAACGTATAAGTCCCTAGGCGTGTGTAAGAAATATGGCGTCTATCATCATTCTCTAGTCTTACCATTGCGGTCCAGCTTCTTCGTATATCACATTGATGTCCCTCCTTATTGGCATTTCGCCAGTCCGCAAGTTGACACCGGATGTCACTCCAACAACAGGGTACTCTTGCGCCGAGATAGTACATGATGCGGCCACAAGAATGCTAATGACAAGTGTCAAAGTCGAAACCATTTTGTGTTGAGACAGTATCCGTCAAGGCAATCTGAGATAAATGAAGGAGGAAAAGGCTTTGTCTTCAAAAAATTGGGATATTGCCACGATTTTATCCCTCTCTCACATGGAGCGGTCAAGTTACCCCCTTCCCAGATTTCGAAGCAAACGAAAAAAAGCCGTCGGATCCGATCCGTGATCCCGTGCTGTCACCAACCTTGTATCATAACCCAGAATGTGGGAAACTCATCACCCTCGTGCACCTGCCGCCGCGTATCGTTGCGCGACGTGGTGACGATGTTCGACGATGTCACTCTTTCTCCGCCTACCTTTAATAGAAGGGGCGGACGCATGATCAGCTGGTGACGACCCTGGGGGAGCTTTCGCATCCAGGAACAATCGTATGACTAAGTTTTCGATAGTATACCAAAATAGATACGGCGCGTGTTTGTATCACGACATTGTCAAGGGCCGCTTTATGGAGGCCCTCTCCCTTTTGATGAGTCTTTGCTCATTTGGGCAACATTGGCGATAGACCTCATCCTGAAGCGGAAAGCCTGGGCCGCTCCGCGTTCTCGAAGCTAGAAACGCTACGGGTGACTGCTGGTACCATGAAATTGGGAAAACAGCATAGATGGAGCAGTCAGTATTGCCGTCGCTGCGGCTTTGCTATGATCTCTGCTACGAGCGTCGTTAAGCGTCTCCCTCTTGGCGCTGCTTTGTATCCTGAACGAATCTGTGTCGACCACAACGTCCGTCTGTGTCACGAACAGAACCACCAGTTTCCGTTTGCGCTCTGGTACCGTCCTTCCGAGATGCAGCATGCCGGCTGGTGTCACAATGCGAAGCCATGCCGTAACTGAGCTTCCTCCCTTTTGTATTTTTCTCTTCACCGCTCTCGGAGAAGCCCTTCAGAGGCGCTGCTTTGTGAAGATGGAAATGCATTGGCTGGAGAATACGATGTCTTATTTCCGGAAAAGACGCCTTATATGCTGCACGAGGTGTACGAAGCGCTCTGACGTGGCAGATATCAGGTTATTCAGCGGCTAATAAAGAATTTTCGTCTGTGGTGCATGCCTTCACATGTCCCTTGAGGTGCCATGGCTCATGTTTTATGGCAGGTCTTGGGGAATAGGACACAAGCATCGCGGCTGTTGGCGATTACAATACACGAGGCGCAAGCAGTTGGCAAATCTTCATCACATCAGTGGGTTGGCTCGGTGGCCAGATCTCATATTTCACGGCGGTATGGTCATGATATAAAACATTGTAGAATGCATATCCTACGAGAATAGATATTTGCCTTCCGCAAGACAGCTTTTCGCTCAACCGAGATAGAAAATGAGGCAGACCTGTCCGTAACAGGCTTGCCTAGTGGAACGCCAATGACCATCTTAAATAAGGCGAATTCCTGCACGAAACGAGCCCTTCATGCAAATCCGGAAGCTCGTAATCTCTCATCCACATCGCCCTCGACTCAGGACCAAGTAGTGGCTCGTGAGTGAGTGTTGGTTTAGTTTTGAATAGAAAACCGGTGCCAGAGTAGGCAGTTGATCTCATAGCGACTTCTCGAGAACGACTAGTTCACGGAAGCCTTCTTTCCACTTCTTCATCTGCTCGGCCGTGGGCTTCGGCAATGGGCTCCGGGCCACACCACCATAGCCTAGCCACGCCTGGAGGCCAGCTTTCACGCCCACAACACCCCCCTGGATCGCTGTCCAGTCACCTTGTGAGACGATCTCTTGCATATCTTGAGCTTCTCCATGTCTCCCCTCTTGGAAGAGCTCAATGGTTTTGATACAAGCCTTGGGGGCGATGTTCGCCAGGCCGGCAAGGATGCCATGCCCTCCAGCCACCAAGGCCTGGATAGAGAAGTCGGCTGAACCTGCCAAGACGAGAAACTCTGGAGTCTTTGAGTCGGGGTTCTTTGCCAGCTTTCTCGTAGCGGCAGCAACGCGGTTCAACTTGCCCGTGTTTCCGCACGTAAGCTTAACACCCACAATGTTGGGATGCTGAGACAACTGCACAATGACGTCGGAGGACAGATCCATGCCTCCCACTGCGCCAGGAAAGTTGTAGATGATGAGAGGAATCGGCGACGCATCAGCCACCGCATGGAAGTACTCGAAGATGGTTTCCGATGACGGAGCAAAGAGGCCAGCGTAGTATGACGGAGGAAGCACCAAGGCATAGTCTCCACCAGCAGCCCAGGCCTCGGTACAGTATTGTATCGTCTCGCGTGTGCTCTGGCTTCCGCAGCCGACGATGATGGGCATGTGAGAGAACCCGGCATCGTTGAGAGCCTGTCGTGTTCTTGCCGTGACGAGTTGACGCTCGGCGTGTGAGAGATGGACTGCTTCTCCGTTGGAGCCCTGGGTGGCCAGCCCGGTCACACCCGCTTGAGCAAGTCGTACTGCATGGCGAGCAACAGTGTCGACGTCCACGTTTTCCGTACCCGACTCGAAGAAGCACATGGTAGGTACGTAGACACCGGGAACAAGCGGCCGGGTCTCCTGCAGATCTGCGCCAAGTGATGCGCTGTCGTATGAGCTGCTAAGAGGTGAATTTGATTCAGCCGCAGTCAGACTTCCGATGTGTAGTTGTGAAGAAGTAGTAGGGTTGCAAGGTATTCTGCTATAGCCGGCTGTGAAACTACCCGCCGGCGAGGGGACATCCTGGTGAGGGGCCATGACAGTTGTGGGAGATTGTAGCAGAAGTTCTTCTTTCAGGTAAGACGACAGGAAGCACGACGTAGGATACACGAAGCGTGGCAGAGGTGGAAATCGAAACCGGGAAATTAAAGTCAGATGAGGAGGTTTGAACTGAATATAGTGTATGCTGTGTCGATCTTGGTTCATGGAGATCCTAGAGGTCGTTCAACAAGCGGAGGCAGACGGGGAGGAGTGGGAAGGAGGCCTTTTATCATCGGAGGGAAGGAAAAGAAGGAAGGCCGTTAGGGATGATGTGACCCCCATCAAAGGGTGGTATATCAATATCAGTCTTGCAACAGGCCAGTGGCGTCACAGGTTACTTCGTAATTGTGGCGGCTCGTCCGTTTCGTAAGTCAGCGTCGCTCGAGATGAAAAGAATGATACGGCCCTCCAACGGATGAACCGGCTCCTGCATACGAGCAGGGTCCTTCTCACTCTCGGACTCAAGGAAAAGACACACCATGCGGATAGTCATGGGCAAGCAGGCCATTCCGAACTGACCAGCAAGGATCGCTCCTGGCCAAGTGAAGTGTTACGAAGAAACGCAGCAAAGAACCAGGATGTCGGGGAGACTGGAGTGCCTAGACCAGGGCTTCGCGACACAGTGCGTGGAGTCGAAGGCAGGATCACTGCTTAGCCATGCAAGAGGCGAGGCCGGCGTCTGCTAGTGGGAGAGATGGAGGTGGGATGGCTGACCCCAACCCAGATACGTCTTCTGGGGTATCACGCCGCTTGACGTGGGGGTTAGCTTCAAAAGGCCCTCGATCTCCAAGTTGCCTCCTTGGACACCTGCAGAATCGAGCATTCCAAGCCGGCATTGCCATCCCGCTAAGCTTCACACCAAAGTAGTCTTGGAGGGTAGAAAAATAACCTCCAGATCCAAGGGACCATCCTCCCGATGAATTCTGTGAGAAATGAGCCGTGAATGACTTTTTGACCAGCCGCAAGTAGTTCGGTAGTTACCCATGTGGTTCGGTATTCTTACACCGGTGGGTGAAACGAGGCCCTTCTCAAGTGTTGGTCTTGTTTTTACCTCGATTCAAGTCCTGTCAATGAGTTGATGTTGGAGGCTGACACGGCGTCTCCACTGGCGCTCATGGGCTCAACCGAATTCGGCAGTAGATAACTTGTGATTCGATTCGAAGTAGGATAGAATTTGGTGCGTTTCCGCGAGCCAATTCCGATGAAAGATGTGTTTGATAAAAGGAGCAAAGAACGGATGTTACGAAACAGGCAGACCGAGCTCTGAATAGAGACGTCGCGAGGCAATGAAGCATGCGAAGGTCTCAAGTAAGTTCCATAGATTCGTTGAGAAAGAAGTTGTGTTGTGAGTCGCTCAGTGGCATCTGCTCATGTAAGCGTGAACGAGAAATAGGTAGTTGGAGAGACATTTGCTGCTGGCTCCAGTTCACCCAAACCATCAAAGCTGCCTCATCCACTCGAATCGTCCTGGAATCATTCTAGACCACAACCTCACCGCGTGATATTGAGAAGCAGCCGCAGTCCTCGCTTTCTACCGAATCAAATCCCTATTATTCATACGACTCACGCGTTGTCAGCCAGTGCTAGATCTTCGCGCATGGATGAAGAGCAACATCGTCGCTTGTCCCCACCGAATGATTCCGATCTGCCTCATTGAGAGCGTCAAGGACATTCTATTCGCTGTTTTGTGGCGGAGGTCTTATGAGCCCTTGTCTTATGAACAGGGTTCAAGATCAGAGGATGAATAGTGTGAAAACAACCTGGCCCATATCTACCAAGTCAACAAGTCGAATACGTTTCATGGACACTTTCATTTCGGAGGGGTGGGAGCAAAGACCAAAGCACGGGATGAGCGCCCAGCATCGGACACAATACACCGCTGCAAGTCATGCCCACACACGAAGGCTAGCCCATCATGCAGTCGATGATTTTGAGATACCTTACTGCGACATGACCATGGAACCGCGAGGTTGCAAGATGGCTCCACCGTTCAGTTTCCAGATTGGGAAACTGTCTTCGTCATGTGTTCTGAATAGTTTTCCAAGCCATCGTTTCCTCAAGCGCCCTGCAAACGTCCAAATCGAATTGTGAGAGGACCAAGCGCGACGACTCATGAGTGAGAACAACCTTGCTGCCATCGGATGTTGGACGGATCGACAGACATTAGACAACACTAACCCCCACGCTAGCCAACGTGCCAGCTCCCCCGGAAAGCCAGGTGCCAACTCATTTGAGGGTTCCCCTTGTCATGGACTATTACCAGCTTCTCAAGGCGGTAAGGCAGCCCTCATGATTTACGACGTGCGTTCAGACGACATGTATCCGTCTTGGATCGAAACTATCTGTCGGTGGCAGTGTTTTTCTGCCTGCCTGCTTTTGGTCGCGTGCCGAGTCTTACATCTGTTGCAGTCTTACTCTGCATCAACTTCATTCTCGTCCACCACTCATTTTCACATCTCGGGACTGTAGAAAGCAAGGTCCTGTCATCATCAGCGCATAGATGACGGTGAACCTAGTATTCCATTCTGCTTATGGATCCATATTCCTGCGTCGGTCGTCCTCCAGATGCAAGTACGGACCCCCGTGACCTTGTGGAAGAGCTGTAGCTGTGCCCGATGTCTTGGCCTTTTTCTCATGCCACCATCGACAGTGCATTTTGTCTTATTTTTCTACAGTGTTTGTCCGCTCGTTCAGTTGCGCCGGTCAAGCGTCTGGTATCTGTCGTTAGCGCCTTCGGGAATAGTTGCAAGTGTCTGCTGACCACCAAATGTCCCCCCCCCCCCAGAAATGGAGCAGGACTCCGCCCACATGGTGTGGCAGATGTCGTTGCCAGCAGTCTTGCTGATGTTGCAGCTGCGCCGCGCGACCTTTCCCCTTTTCCCACCCCTAGACTCCCTCTGCCCATCACGTCGGATAACGGCACGTCGCCACCACCGGGCAGCCCCCCTCCCAGACAGAAGACCAGCTTTCCCCGCACTTTGCTTGACAGCGATCTGATATTGTTCCCCGCGGATTACAGTCTGCTCTTCAGCCGCACGATATCGTGCCATCATCGACGTCGTGTTTCACATCATATGGCCTGGAATATGGCAGCCTCTCCTGGTTATGATTGATGGAGAATCAGGACCGTCATAAATGTCAATGGTTTTTCTCGCATTTATCTCGGCTTCGCAAGAAATCTTATGCCGTCATGTACATCGAAGACCTTGAGATGACAGTTCAATCGTACTACACAACACACCTCCCGGCAGTCAACCCTTTCACGGATGGGATCATGGTTTTGGCACCACATCGCCCTCATAAAGAACAGCAGCGAGCCGCCTGTGCCACGTCTGCAGGCTTGGAAATCCGGGGGCGGGACGTCATGCGGTGCGGATCCTGACATTTTGACCTTCCACAGAGCCCAACATTGCTGGCACCACTTTCGCCCGCATTTGGTCAGTTTGCGATTCTACTTCCTGAGGTTATAGGGCGGGAGGAGAACGATCACTGTTTTCCTCGGTTGGATATGGATTTCCGTGTAGTTGTCAGGGGCTATTCCCATCGCTTCAGTGCACTTGGAAGTCTTGGAAGTCCAGGAAGACCACTCATCCTTAAGCCGCTACATGCCGCGCGAATGTTCACTCAGTGATGGGAAGAATCTCCACGTGTCTTGCAGGTTTGATGAGTCCAAGAGTTGAACCGACCTATGGTAATGGCTCGTCGATCAAGGAGTGGTCGCCAAGATACGGCGTTGAAGAGACAAGATCTTGTTTCCTCCTTGCCCCTCTGAACCTCGTTTTGTGATAGCCAGGCTCTCTTGTTGTCCCCTCCTTTCTCTTGGGAGGTATATGGATGCCTGATATACGATGCGCTTACTCTCGGCAGCTCCCGCTTGCTGCTTCTCAAATGCCAACGCACGATTCTATTACAGCTTCCCGTTAAGTTCTCGGCGTTCCTGTAATTCCAAAGATTTGGCGTGCTTCTTGTCTCTCTTCTCTTCTTCTATCAGTGTAAGTATCCCGCAACTTCAGTTATATAGCTGCGATGACGACTCCGAGATGTGTCAGCCTCATTTGAGTATTGCCGCATAACTTTGTTTCACTCCCCTAGCTTTTCCATAGCCTTTGGTGAAATCTGGCTTCTACCTAGCCTGTCAAGACCATGCTTCGTACCAAGGCCTTTCGTACCCCCTACAGAGGACTGTGAAACCTAGCTCATATGCGGAGCACCCTGCCAGGACTCACTCATCCCACGGCTGACCGAGGGGTTGTCTCGCTGAGCCCCCACACCCCACGGCATGTTTCTGCGGGCTTGACAAGGAACGTTGACTTGACCTTCCCGAAGGAGACCAGGTGAAGTATGAGGCACTCTAGAGCAGTCAATCCGGGCTTCTGGGACCTTGGAAAAGGATGGTGTTCTCGTTCCTGGCGGGGGCTTACCTTAGTATGTTGCTGTCGGGCAGCCGCTGGCGAGGACAAGCTGCAAGTTGGGCCATTGTGCCCGCTCAAGTACCCTATTTTGACTACACGTCTCCAGGATGACAGTTTATGAATTAAGCAGGCACTGTGTCTCAGTCAAGGATGTCGGTGTTTGTCTTCGGTGGTTGAAGCATCATTCTTCACATCAATTTCACGATGAGAGATTTATTGTACCACCAAATTGGCCACTATGGTAGAAGTTTCATCAAATCAGAAGCTCTTTTTCATTATGAGCCAACTAACCAATAAAATTCAGGCAAAAACTTATAGCACTTACTGTGTCATTATTGAGATATCCAAGATTCTGAAGCCACTATCCACAACTTGCAACATACCCACCTCCTCCCATGATGAAGCAGTCACTGATGTCACGAGAAGTCTATGTCTTCAGGGACTTGAAATAATAAAACCAAGGACCTAGTCTCCTTCTTACCGGAATGGCTCTCCCCTGTGGCCTTTCTTTGGCCACTTTCGGTAGCTCTCACTTGGACTCATAAAGTCACAAAACATTGAGACTAACTCAAGTACATTGCGGCATAGTCGGATGGCTCAAAGAGTTAGTTGACAGATGGCATATAAGACCAAAGAGCGCTCAACCGAACTATTACCACTGGCAACGTTTCGTCATTGGATCCATCCTCTGCAACCAGTACAAGAAACAAGCGAAAGCCGCATTCATGTCTCTCCTACTCAGCCTTCCAATCCTCCGTATACGTCCGCCCATCCGCTCTCATCTTTCCAATAACAGGCTCCAAAAGCAAAGGCAACACCTCCGCCGCGTCCCTCCCGAACGCGAAATCCCCCTTCTTCACCTTGCCCATCTGGCCCTCATCCTCGGCCTCGGGGTTGACGGTACACACCCGCGCCCCGGCCGCGTGCGCCTTGAGAATGTATCCCGCGGCCGGCCACACCTGCGCCGACGTGCCGACGACGATCATGAGGTCGACTTTCCCTTGCTCGATCCAGGCGTCGACGCCGTCGAGCATGGCCTCGTCAAGGGCCTCGCCGAACCAGACGACGCCTGGCCTCAGCAGGCCCGTTTTGCAGGATGGGCAGTGGGGCAGGTCTGCTTCGTCGATGGCGGGGAGCTTTTTGGTGGGGTCGAGAAGTGGCAGGGTCTTGGTTGGGTCTGCGAGGTCTTCAGAGGCTGGGGCGAGGGCTGGGCAGAGGGGGTCTTGGGTGTTGTTGTGGTGGATGTAAGTGCATTGCGGATTGGCGCATTTGACATCAAAGAGGCTTCCGTGGAGGAGGCGGATTTGGTCCTCCTTATGTCCTGCCCGTGGCGAGAGGCCTGAAAATAGAATTTAGCTGTCTTTTTATTCTTTGTAGGGAACGTGTGGAAGTCGTTCTCACCGTCAACATTCTGCGTCAGGCACAAGAAATCCGGATTCTTCTCCGCCAGCGCGGCGAGGGCATAGTGCGCCTTGTTCGGCTTCGCTGATAGAGCCATGTGTCTCCGGTAGGCGTAGAACAGCCACACGAGGCCCGGGTCCCGGCGGAAGGCTTTCATGGTCGCTAGGTCCGTGGCGTCGTGGTTTCGCCAGAGTCCTCCAGCGCCGCGGAAGGTCGGCAGGCCGGAGGAGGCAGAGAGACCGGCGCCGCAGAGGGCGAGGATACGCTTGCTTGAAGCCAGTGTCTCGTGGAATGCGGCGACGTCGTTATGGGGGGCCATGGCTTCAAAGGAGATTGGACGGCGAAGGGCTTTATTGGGGAGTGATCAGTGAGGGGTGTTTGGAAGCTCTGAACGGATGCTACGAACTAGTTGGTTTTAGGCTTGAGGATGCAGATAGCCTCCTGAGAGTCAAGCTGATATGACTGAGTCCCGTGAGATGTTTTCTCGTCATGCTGTCTCGGGGCAGCTTATATCGCGGTGCGTTTAGGCAACCTACCTACTTATCCGTAGGGGCGTTCGCCATTAGGCACCGAGGCCAAGCAAGAGGATAAGCAAGAGCAGCAGGGGCATATAATCATCCAATCATTGAAACCAGCAGTCTGGAGACTGTAGATTCAGTGGCCTCGCTGTTGGGAAAAGCCCGTCTGACTTGATCGAAGAGATGTAAGTGCTCCGACTTAAATTGAGATGGTCGTTGTTGGGGGGCCATGTCACTTCTCCACATGCCAGGATGTAAGGTGACTCCTTCACCGAGGCGGAGTGACATCATTCATAGCCACACCGAAGCTTACACACCAGGAGGTCTCAATTTCTTTCGGAAATATTTACAAAATGCTTCTCTCAACGGAGCTAATCGAGAAACTCTTTCCAACTCTTAAGTTTCCAGTGAACGCTGCCTTTAGGAGCAGGATGATTTTGCAAGTAGAGAAATCACGAACAAGAGTAAACCAGATCATAAGAAATTCGAAGCTTTTAGCTTCTGAGTTGAGATTTTTGTCTATCTCTCTATGTCTATAATGTAACCAATCGCTATGCCCTTTCTATGCACCCAAGTCATGTCATCAACCTCATCTTATATACAGCATCCCCAGAAACGGTTCGATCATGTTTTGAAACACACAATCTCCTACCGCTTAGTTCTCGAGGACGTAGCGGTAGCGGGCCTTGCCCTCCTCCAGGTCGACGATGGCCTGGTTCGCCTCGCTCATGGGGCGGACCTGGATCCAGGGCTTGACACCCTTCTCGGCGGCGAGCTCCCACATCTCGCGGATCTCGTGAGGGGATCCGATCAGGGAGCCGGTAAACTTGACGCGGCGCATGACCATGGGGACGGGGGAGATGGTGTAGGCGCCGTCGTCGGGGAGACCGACCTGGACGAGGGAGCCGTCGAGCTTGACGAGGTTGAGGAAGTCCTGCATGGGGACCTTGGCAGAGGAGACGGTGGAGATGACAATGTCGAAGGAGTTGGCGTAGGTCTTGGCCCAGTCGGGCTCCTCGCTGGTGGCGATGTAGCCGTCGGCGCCCATCTTGAGGACCTCGTCGCGCTTGTCGCCCTTGCGGGAGATACCGACGACCTTGTCGGCGCCCATGGCCTTGGCGAGCATGATGGCCATGTGGCCTAGGCCGCCGACGCCGTTGATGGCGACGGTCTTGCCGGGGCCGGCGCCGTGCTGCTTAAGCGGGGAGAAGACGGTCACACCACCGCACAGCATGGGCGCGGCGTAGGCGGACTCGAGGCCGTCGGGGATCTTGACGACGAAGTGGGAGGGGCAGCGGTGGTACTTTGAGTGGCCGCCCATGGCCTTGCCGCCGTTGTAGTGGAAGTGGCCGTAGGTGTGGACGGACTTGGGGCAGTACTGCTCGTTCTTGGTCTCGCAGGGCTCGCAGGGGCCCTGGCGGCCGAGGCAGGAGTCGGACTGGGCGCCGACACCGACGCGGTCGCCGACCTTGATGCCGCCGACGGCCTTGGAGCCGACGCGAACGGCGACACCGACGATCTCGTGGCCGACGCAGACGGGGTAAGGGGCGGGGCCCCAGCCGGAGCGCAGGACGTGGATGTCGGAGCCGCAGACACCGGAGTGGGTGATCTGGATGTCGACGTCGTTCTCCTCCCACGGCTTGGGCTCGTACTCCTGCCAGACCATGTTGCCCTCGGAGGACTTCTCGTCGAGGCCAACCCAGCCCTCAAACTTGTAGTCGGTAGCGGCCATTGTGATTTTTGTGTGTGGTGTGAAGAATAGAAAGAAGGGGTATCGGAAGAAAGGTTGTTTCTTGCTTTGTTATAAGAGAGATAATCTTATATATAAGAGAACGGGAAGCTTGTGAGTACAGAGTGGAATGATATCGTCGGAAGGCGGGAACGACACGCCTCTTTTAAACCTTTAGCTCCCCATCTTGCAAACCAACTTAAGTCCTAAACTCATCGGCGAAAGAGGGGACTAACGCCGCCGGTCGTCCAAGGAACCATGAGGCTGGAAAGCCTGGATAACGAATTTTGCGCAAAAAAACACAGCAAGTACTACGTGTTAGAGGGCAGAGGAGAAAAAAACTGCAACGTGGGTGGAGTCAAACAGCGGGAACGAACTGGGAATAGATTGGAAACTAGATGGGCCTAAGTGCGGCTCAGTGCCGCGGTTCGAGATCGATGGAGCAAGGTCCAAGGGGGAGTGAGAAGAAGGACCCCGTTGACTGAGACTCTGTTGATGCAGGAAAGGCCAGAGGCAGAGAGGCGCAGAGACGCAGAGACGCCGTTTGAACAATTTGGAAGGGGGGTGGAACCGTGGTGGTGCGGAACCTTTCCAGCACGGAACGTCAAAGAAGGTCGATATGCGTCGTCATGATTCGCCGGGCCGATATGGGGGCCTGGGCCGGCCGAGGTGGGTAACTCTGGAAATCTGGCTTAGAAATCTTGGAGGTTGTTGTGATTTTTGCCTTCTATCTGCGCGGATACACATTACACTATCAAGGATCACCGGGGGGCCCTGGCTATGGATGCTTGGATTGGACGGTATTGAATGACGGCAACAGATTGAACGGCTTCTCTCATTATCTGCATCTCCGTCCAGATTCTGTATCTCTCGCTCTCTATATGGCGGTTGAGCTTTACCCGGCACGACCTTACTCCTTACAGCTCGAGATGTTGCTGTTGAAGAAAGTTGGGGGTTCGGGCTCTTTCTCTCCGCTGTTCAAAACTTCAACATGTCGACACACGAAGAGCTAGAGACATGCAGATGCGGCGGCTAGATGGGGAGCTGCCCCTTCAAAGGACGAATAGATAACGAAGAAAGGCATGTATCCACTATCCAGCAGTGAGCACAGGGATTTTTTGGCCGCCGTTCCCGAGTAAAGGTTGTGTTTTGATGTCATCGACTCCAGTATTCTCCGGCACTTGGGTGGCTTCACACCGCAACTGAGGGGCGGGACTGAGAAGAGAGCGATAAAAAATTGGAGTCCAGGTCTCTCTGGTGTTTGAGACAACTCTGAAAGGGGATTTGCGCAAAAAAGCTTTTCTGGGTTTTCTTCACCATGTTCTCCATTCAAGTCCATCCCGGATCGATCATCCCCTGTTTCCAAGGCCACTGGGGAAACCAACTTGGCAACCACACGATTGAATGAATCGTTCAGCCTCATCTCATTGATCTCATTGATGACTGAGCTCCAGTTTGGGATTTGAAGAGATTTTGTGGCCCCTTCGAAAGCCTTGCCCTTACGTCAATTGCGGATTCTTCCCGTTGGGCGGCGGTTGACCGGCCTTCGCCGTTCTCGGTTTGCTTCTGTCAAAGCTTCTAGAAAACGTGCATTTTTATGGAGAAGTCACAAAGTCTGCCGCGCAGGGGCCATCGGCACGTCACCGATGACCCGCCCGCTGCCGCGGTTCAGTCCAACTTTGTTGCTGCTGTTGTTGTGTGTATCGATCTTCAAGTTTCCTCTTATCTTGGCCCAGGAGGATATTGATCATCCGACGATGAGTTAGCTCGGATTTCTAAATGCCAATCTTTCTACTACCGCCACGCTAGTTGGCTGTCATTGTGAAGATAAGGTGGGAGCTGAAAGTCTGACAACTACCGGTGCGAAGACGGAGTTTTACCTCACCGACGAGATAGGTACCGGTAGAATATGCCCCGTCACTAGACATGCCGTGAACGTGGCCCGGCAAGGGTCCCTTCCGGACCACGGAATTACAGAGGCAATCGTACTCCGTATCCGTACAGCTGGCAGGCCGCAGGATGGAACTCTGCTTAGTACGCAGCCGGACTTATCTCGTAGACTTCTATTTCCCATAAAAGACCTCAAAACACACATGTGGAAACAATTTAACTCCGATTTCATGCATCCTGCTCAAGGCTGCAACACACCGTACCTTTGGTCATGTCTTTTCATAGCAGTCCCCCTTTTTCGGTCTGATTATCTTGTGTTCCGCCCTTGCCGCATCATGCATGCCCGTCTACCAAGGCGACCACCGGGATCCCACTACACCTTTCCTGCCCCTTTGAGTCCCCAACTATTCATACAATCCCCGGGACCGATCAATTGTCGAGGAATCGGATGATTGTACAAACGACGATGCAGATGCCCGAAACGCCCCCCCTATCTCCGAGCCGCTGCCAGATCCAGCGTCTCCCGTTCGGGGAGATACCGAAGCGAAGCAGGGTACTATACGAGATGCTTTATCCCGAGTTCTAGATGCGGGCGCCGTGGGGTTGTGTTCGCTCCCTGAGGACCGTGGGTTTGTTGGTGAGGGTTTCTTCAATCACCGCATATCCACGCCATGCGGAGTGTCGGAACCTGCTCGGAAACACCCCCACGGTCCCCGTCCTCGCCTGGTGAAAACCGATCGGCATCTGTGCTTCATACTTAGATGGTTTTCATTCTTGGAATAACAGACATGTTCAACTCAGAATAGCACAATCGTGAGGTAAGATACGCGGAAGTATGTGCTTGGAATAATCACGAAAACCACGTGGGACTTCCACCTTGCCACAATTCGCTGGTGGTTTTTATGTGCATCTCAAACCCGTCAGAAGGGGACCGGCGCCGCGATCGTCGGTGGTGACGTCCGCGCCGGCCATTGCTTGGTTTCCAAGTAGCAGCAGTCATGCGAGATCCGCATGGCAGAGGCCGATCGGTGCGGCTGGCCCGAAATCCCACGCCCGAAGACCAAGAGAAGGGCTCCCGCGAGTAAGTTCTTTTTGCCACCGAAACCCGATGAGCCGGCTACAAGCTACATCTCGCCTCCAACGGCAGACCGGTGCTAGCCAAGCCCGATATCGACATCATTGTGCGCCGTACCTGCATATGTCAGAAAAGCCTGCGTGCTGCTATGCCCACGTTTTTAGTTCATGCACACACATACCCCAATTGAAACGGCATCGCCTCGGAGACGTATGACTCCACAGCGCCGGCCGACTTTGAGGCTCCGGGAGCAGGAACGGAGTAAAGGGCCGGGCGAAGCGGAGTGAGTGCCTGCCACCTTCCGTTGCCGAAGGACAAGAAGCCACTCAAGCCTCCGACCGGAAGGCACCAATGGGGCTATGCGCGCTCATTTCTTTCTTCCGTCCTTTCACAACACCGTCTTCATCAAGCGTGGCAGGCCCGGTTTCATGGTAGACCAGCTGCCGATGCCATCTTGGAATGAGTTGAGAACTGTCTCGCTTCCTGACGTCTTGTTCACAATCCTCTTCATAATTTCAGTATCTCGGGGGTAATCGAATCTGTATGAAAGGGGAGGTAAAAAAAAAAGTCAGACCCTTCGCCCAGGCAGGCAGGCATCTAGATACTTTCGTACCGATCCTGGGAAGCGCATTGCCCAGTCAGCAAATTTACTAGGTACGAAAATGAAACACAAAGAGAAGCTACTCACGGTGGCTTCGCTTCGGTCTCTTCTTGAGAGGAACAGTCGCACTTTCTGGTCCATATGAGGGTTTCGACCTTCGACCTTCGCCCCCGGGCATCTTCCGCTCCACCACCTGTCGAGTCAACCGTCGCCGTATCTCCCCCGGTTCAATATTGAAAGAAGCCCCGGGCCGCTTTCCGTCTCTCCTCGCCGAGTCAATTAGAAAATTTGCCAATACACGTACCGAGGAACAAGGGCCCTGGAGCAAATCACCGCCTGTCACCGTCAACCCCTTTCCCCCTCTAGGCCCGGACAAAACGGAACTTTTGTTTTGATTGGGCGGTTCGGACGGCACGGTCCTCCAGGCCTGGAAGTGGTAGACATGCCATACAGGAACGGATACAGCAAAGGTCGTCCATCAAACCGTGTCGTGCTACGATGATATTGGTATCGAAATCATGAAAAACGACTAGCCTCCTGCTCAGAGAGCCCGAGGACTCATAACTGCGCCTCAATGCGATGGTATCGATACACAACAGACACAACAACAAGCGGTGGGCAGAAGAAGAAAAGATCGTGACATGGGCTCCCACAGCGCATCAGGATACCTCACGGATCTCACAATTCCCGCACGACTTGAATTGAAAAAAAGGCCACTAAAACCGGGCGAGTAGCCAAGCAAAATATCATTGGCAAAACCGAGACCATTGTGCCGCAGGGCGATGCGCAATAACATTTGACGCCAGACTCAAGAGACGATCGCCCAACAAGATCCTTGGGCTCAAGCAAGTTTGATTAACAAAACCCCAAGCCACGATCGAGTCTCACAGACACCTAAATCCTTCGACGCTGCTGCGCGGTACTTATCCCATTTCCTTTCCTCCCCCACCTCTCAAAAAGAAAAAACAAAATCCTTTCCTTGGCTCCAACGGTGCCCGTCAAGCTAGAAGCACATCAGAGACGCGCAGAGGCATTTTAGGCTACCCGTGCGGCACCGGACGGCGCCCAGGCACACATTGCCACACTCATTAGTACCTTATTGAAAGGACAAGCCATGTGCTGACCTCTCTCTCTCTCTCTCTCAATCTCCTTGCTTACTTGGTGAGGGCGGCGTGGTGCACAGGTGGAAATTAGGTACCGAATAAGGTAGAGCGCGGCAATGGATCCGATTTCTGGGATCCATCCTCCCCCGGCCCCCCTCTCCTCTTTGAGTCAAAATTCTTATTCAGGTGGGGGACCCTGCCAGGGTTGCTCAACTTCAAACACGGCGAGATTGCAACCGCGGTGTTTTTTCTTGGTTGCTCAATTCGCGCTACCAAGGCACCTACGTTCGACGATGTTCATGCGAGCCTGAGCTTATTGTGTAAGTTTTGATGATGTGAGAATCACGTAAATCGAAAAGTACTGGTAAAAGTGTTCAAATCTGAATGTTTTTGATTGTCAACGTTTTGTCTGTCTCGACTACCTCGGCAAAATGGCACAAGGCGTCCTCTTCAACTCTTCTCTAAAGGTATCATAGTCCATCTTCCACAAACACTACCCAGCTGCTTCAAGAAAAAAAAGGCATCCGCCATCTGAAATGCAATTCCCATTGTTCGACTTTCCTCCTCTCGCGTGAAACATTGGCAAGGCCGTCGCGGAAAAGCTTCCTCCAATTCTTGGAGACAGATTTCCGCGGGAGAGCGTGATCATTAAAAGTACCAGATTAGGTCGCAGGGTATGGCCCCAACTGTGCGCTAGGTCCATGAAGGAACATGCGTAACTCAGTCGTGATAAGGATCGTGATCGAAAGTGAAGAAGTTGTACAATCCGCTCTCCGGGCGGCATGATTTTTTTTGGTTGTCTTTATGCGCATGTACGGTCGTTCAAGAGTTCCGGCGGACCCGCTTACAGCAGGAAGGTGAAGAAGAGGCCGGCGGCACCAAGAGCAAGGTTGGCCTTGTTCATGAAGCCGGAGTTGGCGGCAACGGTGGAGGGGGTGCTGGAGGCGCCGGCAGCGGTGCCGGTGGAAGAAGCGCTGGAAGAGCCGGAGCCGGAGCTGGAGCCAGTGGCGGTAGAGGCAGCGTCCTCGGTGGCAGAGGCTTCGCTGGAGGCGGTGGCGGAAGCAGAGCCGGAGGCGGTGACGGTGCTCAGAGTGGTCTTGGAGTCGGTCTTGGTGGCAGTCTTGGAGGCGGAAGAAGAGCTGTCATCGCTGCCGCCCTCGGTCTTGACGACGATGGACTCCCAGCTGCCGGAGCGGTCGCCGTAGACGTACTCCTTGGCGCCCTTGACACCCTTGTTGCCCTGGTAGTCGGTGATGGTAATGGACTTGTAGTAGGCGTTGTAGGGAGCCTTGGAGAAGTCGGTGTAACCACCAGCCCACTCGACGGTGCCCTTGGGGGCGTCCTTGCGGCCGGCAACCCAGGTTCCGATCTTGACCTCCATGGGGGTCTGGGGGAACATGGCGCCACCCTTGGCGTCGGCGTACTTCAGCTCACGAACCAGAGCACCGTCGATGATCCACTTGACGGACTCCTGGGTCCAGTCAATGGTGTAGGTGTGGTAGTCGTTGAGGGGGTTGGAGACGGGGTGGTAGGCACCACGGTCGTAGGTGCTGGTGTCACCCTTGCCGAAGTAGTTGGTCTGGACCTGCTCGTTGTCACCGCCAACCCACTCCCAATCGATCTCGTCGAGGTCGTCGGACTGAAGAACGACGGAGGTGACGACACCCTGGCCAGGGGAGGCCTTGAGGACGACGTCAATCTTGCCGAAGAAGATGTACTTCTTGGAGGCCATGGTGGGAGCATCGGTCTCCTTGTTGATGGCGAAGAGAGCACCGCCATCCTCGAACTTCACGGCAGTGCCGTCAAGCTTGCGGAAGACGGAGTCATCGTTGCCCTTGGTGAAGTCGATGCTGACCGACTTGCCCAGAGCAGGGTCGGCAGGGCAATCTGAAGATCCGTTAGCCAGGCTGTTTTACAACAAAACCAAACGATAGTACAATAACTGGGGACGGAAGAAAACATACCCTTCTTGGTAGGATCGCAGGTGGTGAAGGTCTGAGCAGAGACCATGGTGGAAGCGGCGAGAGCCACGGTGGCAACGGAGAAGATCTTGGGGAACATTTTGCCGGTAATTCGTATACGTCGATCGAGGAAAGAAGCGAGTAGCGAGTTTGATGAGAAAAGGTTCGAAGGTGACGAGATATTTATCAGAGGCTGCTGACAAGTATTAAAGGAGCTGGAAGCTGGAAAGTGGCTCGAGGGGGAGTGTGAGTGTGGAAATAATGAAAAGCTATGCCGATTAACGAGGGACTGGCAGGTAAGCTAAGAAAAGGCAAGAGGTAGAAGCTCGTGGGGAAGCAAAATAAGAAGAGGTGAGGAACAAGGTGAGAGGGTAGAAACATACGAACGGGGAGGATGGTTTTATTACTTGGACTCGACGAGATGAGGCACAGCAGTGCCCAGCAGCGCCAACTAGGCAGAACATGAGCAACCACACCAACAACAGGTACCAAGACCAAGTATCTGCGGTACCCAAGCACTAGGCACCGGTGACCATGGACAGACCAGGGCAAAGGCGCGCCATGGCTCGTTCTCTCTTGTCTTGGTGACTTGGTCCCTGGGCTGGATGGGACGGGGGTGGGATGTGTCTCCATGGGCCATGGCCCACGCTCCACGAGCTGGGCGAATCAATACGACGTCGTACCTTATTCAGGACCCTGCACTTGCCTAGTGTCCTGGGAAGGGGGGTGAGGGGTGGTCATCGGCCAAGCCTTGACTCTTGAGCCTGAACCATCGACACCCCCTGGTCCCTTAGCTCTTGGAGGAAAGGTCAGAGTGACTGGGGGTGATGGGACCGTTCGCTGTTATTGTCAAAGGACAACTTGTTTGAGTGTGTGCGCGCGCACAACTGTCAACTGGTGAGGGTACTGTATGGGGAGTTGCAACTTGTGACTGGTGACTTGTGAGTGGCGGCATGGCCAGAAAGAAGAACACCTTCAGAGAACAGCGAGCAACTGAGGACTGAAGATCCTGAAAGTGAGAAGTCAAGGTGGACTGGTACTGGGGAGGCCAGTGGGCTGCTGTTGCTTGTTCCCAAAGTCCCTCCCACGAGCAAAGGGTTAATTTGCACTTGCATCGATGGCCCAATGAAAGAAGAAGGATTGAATGACTTTGCCCAAAGAAGAAAGGCAGCGGGAGAAGTGGCGCTGCTTTCTTTTTCCGTCCGGGATCTCCTTTCCGTAAGGCAGAGGAGGAGAGATTGGCTTCTAGAGTCTATTACGGGTGGAAGGCATCGCCAACCAGCGGGAGTCTGGTTATGGTAGAGTTGACGGAAGTCGGAGGAAGGTAGTAGTGTAGAGAGAGAGAAAAGAGATGCGTCCAAGGGTTCGTAGAGCAGCTGCCATCCGTTCCTGAGGGATGAGCAGGCTGCAGGAGAGAGAGAGAGAGAGAGACACACACCACTTGGGAAGTTGGGACGGCACTCTGCCACTCCCAGGTCAATGGAAGCGACGGACCATGGATGTATCTCGGTACGTACCTCACCTCAAGTCTGACTAAGAAGTACGTACAAATGTACGTATACTGTACGGAGCCATCGAGGGATATCTCTCGTACGGCACTACGGATACGGTCCAATGTCCATCATACGGATACATCATTGCGGACCATGGCCCACGGTCAATCAAGCATAATTTCCTGGCCACGGCCACTTGGAACGTCGGATGATCAGCAATGATTGACATGGAACACGAAGAAACACCTCGCTACGCTTCGTGATGAAGCGCGCGGAATTCCGCCAGATAGATCAGACTCCATCATACTCGCCTCAAGAGTCAACACTCAGTACCTCGCCTGCCACTACCACGTCCATGAGTGACGTTGTGTTGCACATCGTGTTTGCCGCCGGCTTCTTCGACTCGACCGGGCCGTTTCCAGCGCATTCCAAAGAGCTGCTGCCACGAGGCGAATCATTCCTCGGGATGACTTGGAGGCAACGTCCAGCAATGGGTCAGCCAACCTGCCTTAGCTTCCTGCTGTCACTCAGCCGCTCGCCTTCTTTGTTCCCTCGCGCCAGCATTCCAAGAGGGCACATGGCGCCGGGTCCGCTAGCAGACAACAAGTTGTGCCGCTGTTGTTCGACAAGCTGTTATTGAACCAAGATCGAGGAGGGTTGCTTCCTCGCTTGTCCAGGGAAGCCGAACAGGTTCACCTCGTTGATCGACGTGTCTTATCGAGTACCAAGCCAGCAGGGCAACCAATTTCATGCTTCCTTCGCCTGACAAAATAAGGGGCACTGCAGTCTGTGTTCACTGCAGGGGGGCTCCAAGACCCAGACACCGGGGCACAAATGGACAGTCACTGCAGCCTGCCGCCATCGTACGTCCACCTGATGGCCGGTGCCTGCAACAACTCAGCAGGTGAAGCAGCGGTGATCCCTGCGGCGCATCCGTGAGCCGGTCCGTGTCGACTTCTCTCAAAATTTCGACTCTCTCAGTGACGGACTGGCGGTCTCCAACTTCGATCGAACCCCCGCGCTCGACTCGACTCAGCAACCCGAATTGCCCTTGTCATCAACAATACCACAGCAAGACAAGAATAATCTCGGGGCCCCGTTGCCCGACGATGGCGCCGTGTTTGGCCGTGAGCTTCCCGCTGCGAGGTTAAACTCTCGCTCGTCCAGTGGGAGATCCCCCTCCTCCAAAACCTAGTGCACCTTAACTTGGCACCGCAGCATACACAGTATTGTCAGACCTTGGCACTCTGGGAGTCTAGGTATCTCCTGCTCGCAAGCGTTGTTCGCGAAGAACCCTGCCGACTCTGTATACCACACCAAGTTCCTGTATCTACACTCGCTACGAGGCCATGTGCGCGCGCGCATAATGAAGGAGTAAGCAGTGCTGCGCCCAGCAATGCAGCAGCAGATGTGATCTCTCGGCGGCTTTGAGACTCGCAACCATCTGTTTGGTCCAGCGCGTCTCCGGATGTTTGGGTTGTCCTTCGTGCTCATTTCGGGGCTACCAATGATCAATCTTGCAGATTCACAAAGTCCTCATCCCACCTCCTGAGATATACCGAGTCCCGCGGCCACCGTCGGTCAACCACGACCACTCGAACCACGACCACTCGATCTCCAAACTCCAGTAGTAGACTGTTACAGCGCCCCGTTTATCTTACAGAGTCCATAATCCTAGCGCTCCAAGCACCAAGCCACATCGCCAGTTCTGACCTATCGCGAACCGGAACCTGCTGTCCAGAGGTTGAAACAGGAGTTATCCTTCCAGGAATCCCTTGGTTTCTTCTTCTTGTAGTTTGCGAAGCTCCGAACTGACTTCAGAACTTCAGCCCGACGGTTTGAAACAAAGGGCGGCCCGGGGGAACAGGAGTTTCTTTGCCCGGTCACAGTGCAGCCCGCCCCTTTTCCCACCGTCATCTCTAATACCTGTCCGTTCAATACGGGTACTCTCAGTCTCATTTCATCTTTCAGAGATCTCATTGTCTTGTCATTTGCCAGCTAACAGCTCTCCCCTTGTCTCTCCACCACCGGCGCAAGTGTTATTATTGTGAGGTAAGGGCAAATTCAAATTTCTCTTAGCCACTTCAGGAGTTCAGACTTCGTGCCGATGCCCCGAAAATACTCCAGAGATCTTCATAATTCTCCGCTGTACGGCTAGGGGCCAAGGCCAACACGGGGCTACCGCTCATCACGCGCCATTTCACAACACGAAAGAAGGGTGAAGAGGCCGACCCTGGTCACGCAAAAGGCGTTGCTGTTCAATTTTGGCCTCGGTACTGGACCGAAGGGAAGCGACAATGAGTCGAGGCAAGCGCGCTGCCGCAAAGCTAGATACGGCCGCCCCGTGCCACAGCCGCCGCAACGTTCCATAGCCGGAGTCGTCTGATCGGCTTGTTCTGGCAGCATGCACCCATCGACTGAACGACGGCTCGGAGTATCCCGGGCTCTTCCACGTTCTACGCGCTGTGCAGCGGCCTACCTTCGTGGGCAGTGGGCACTCGTATCCAGCTGGCCGGGTTGCCTCAAACCACCCTCCCAGGCTGTCAGGCGGTGGCTGTGCGAGCCAACATCGACAATAGGCTGTGGTCTCTGCTCGTCAACCCGGCATTGAACCACCTCTCAGCCCTTTCGGTAGACCACTCTGTTGCTCCGAACCCACATCGCAACACCGTTCGATCTTCCATGTAAATCCTTTCCAGCCTGCTGATGGAATCGAAAGGAGCTTGGGCATCTCCTTGCTCGAAAAGCAGCGAGGAAGGCTGATCTCGAGTCCGAAACGTCACTGGGCCCACGTTTTTTTACGTTCTCCATCGTAGCGAATGGGCCACCATCTTACCAGACTTTTGTGCTGGTCTCCGTGGAGGCTATCCAGGGCTTGCCTTTGAAAGTGCGCTTATCGACATGGTGAGCTATGTGCAGTTTGATACCTCTCCATATTGTGCATGGAGGAGGCGCAGGGCTTGCAGCAGAGGCTTGCAGACCATGCTGTCAGGTATATTGACAGGTATCACAGCAGACAGAAACAGAAGGGTTGAAGGTCAGTTCCCGGGTTCCAACCGCAAACTCGCTTCTGTACGACTAGTAGCCCCTCGCCACGCATGTACCTTGTCCGATGACATATCCAAGCCGATCCTGCAAGATCCAGTTCTACAAGCCTCGAGAACCAGCTTCCACGACTACCGGCATCTAAAAGTAACCAAAATAAACTCCCCTCCAGACCTAAACCATCGCATCCATTATCCCGGAACAAAGGCTGGCAGTCTGGCACAACGGGCCAACATTCCCAAAGAAACATCCAGGCGACCCCTGAAGAAACGAGTTAAAGGCGCGCCACTAGCGCCAGTAGCATCTCTAAATTTAACTCCACGAAAAACCCGAGCCCGCCGCCCCATCCCGTCCACAGTCACACCCCCCAGTAACAAGTGTCGCCGCTGCCCGCCCGTCTCCGAAGAGGGAAAAGTGCTTCATCAAGTGTACCATGCTGGTATGGAGCATCTGCCACCCCTTCGCTAATCTCGAGCGAAACCTCGTAAAAGTTGTCTATCTGCGGGAACGACGCTGTCAATTACCCCCCCAGGTTCGCATACTGAAAAGTCCACTGACGTCTAGCTGCATTCTTGGGTCTTTCGCTCAGCCTTATGACTCTTGAACTTTGATTCACTTTACGCGCTCCAACCGGGTCTTGACTGGAGAAAGAACGGCGGTCAACGTTCTCCATCGGACACGACTCTCTCTCGAAGTCACGGCGTCTCCGACCGATCCCCTCTCTGAACCCTGGACCATGGGTCGTGTGCCGCTCAATTCGGTGGGGAGCCAATGGTCTTGCACACAGTTGCTCGGCCAAATGTTGCCCTTACACGGATTACTCATTCCTGCCGAAGTGTAGGTGCTGACTTGGGCCTACGATCCTCCATTACAATCTCACGAACGAACGACCAAGAAGAATCGTCAGTCAGAATGTTGATTTAAAACAACGCAGTCATCTTTATGCGAGGATTGGTTGCTATTCCTTTGCTTACTCTGGCCACTAAAACCGCATAGGATTCCCGTGCCGCTTCTAGTAGGAAGAGCTGAAGATGTGCCTGTCATTTATAGGTGCTGACTCTTGCCGGCTGTCGTGATATAGATCTGACGGTGCATGGGAGTAATCTGTATGCATCGTCTCACGGGCTGACACTCGACGCATTCATCACACTCCTTCATCGGGTGAGCGGCGGCTGCCTGCACGTCTCGCCTACACATGAAGCAGGATTTGAAGCCGTTGATGGGCGCCGGCAAGGTTGCCTACACACAATATCGATATAACTGAATAGCTGTATACTTTTAAGCGCTAGGATTCGGAATCTCTAAGCATCGGACCTAGGATGTGTTCACCGCAGTATACTCTGCTTCGCCATTGACGCATTGGATCATGACGCCGAGGGTCGCTAAGAGTCGACAGATGATTGAAATCAAAGTATTTTTGATGGATACAGAAGGATTGGATCTCAGTTCTGCCTACGCCCTATTCTTTCAAACAATGTTGCCGCGATATGATAGCCCTCAACTTTCATTACTAAGGTCACTGGTTACGCTAGCGAGATCCCTTCAGGGCCCGGACCCATGTCCTACATTTTGACAAGTATACAGAACAAATCTACCTCGGACAACATCGTTTCCACTAGGATCAGTGCTGTGCTCTTCGACATCATGGGATTCATGGCGCCAGCTTGCCCATGTAGGACGCTCATAGGGCCATTGCGTCCCAGCTGTATCGTCGTCGGTGTACGTGCCGTGGAGTGCCATCTCTCACTCGGCAACTGAGCCATGAAATCGAACCTCATGGAGGCAAGCTGTGGACTTCGATGGGACTCGTTTGCTTAAGATATCCGAGAACGAAGGTACCTCACGACAAGTTGCATGTTCCTATAGGTGCTCAGCGTTTGGCTGGCATCGCAACGAGTCCATCGACAAAGCATTTCTCCGTGTAACTATTTCTCGGCCTCTGCGTATTTCTGCTGGGTGAAAAGAGGGCAACGACTTCTATTAAGGTGCCCAACGAACGTGACGTTCGATAATAAGCCGTACTCATCACAGGCATACCTTTACTCCTTGGTTGTTGTCCTTGATATCTTCGAGAGGGCCATAAGGTTAGGAGTATACCATGACGGGGTTGCATAGAGATCTGGTAGAGACTAGTAGATGCCTTAAATCCCTTCACCAGGCTATGGTGTATCTGTTGCTATGCCGGACCTGAAAATAGGTTTTTGTAAACGTTGGCAATGCATTTGGAACCACTGTCCCGGCGTAACCTTCACATCTGCTTCGTCGAGAACGAAAGTGTGTCTACAGCAGATGAAAGGACAAAATAACATGAACAATGTTAATGCGCGATTGTTACATCATTGAATAAACTGCTGGACAGGCTTCCGTCGTCTCAAAGCCGCATTAGACGGCCGGTCGCGGGAAGTACTCCGGTCGCGGTGGATACTTTCCGACCCATCGCCGAACGTCATCTCAACTCGCCCGTTCTGCCCCCTCACTCAAATCCCAGCCCCAAAATAACTTGACCTGTCACCACATCACCAATGGCCGAGGCCGTAGACTCGGAGAAATCTCAGGGCGTCATTCCCGAGCCGCGATTGCCATTGCATGCTTTCCCTCCGCCCATGGTCATACCGCCGCTGAAGCAGCCGCACCAGCAGACCATCATCCTCCTACACGGCCGAGGTTCCAGTGCCAAACTATTCGCACCGGGACTTCTGTCTGTTCCCCTAGGCGACTCAACCGCATCACCGGACCTCAGTACGTGTACGTTTCGAGATCTCCTACCGCACACGCGCTTCGTATTCCCGACCGCGCCACGGTCGCGGGCAACCATTTACAGACGGTCCATTATCAACCAATGGTATGACGGGAGCGGTGACTGGGAGGAGACACTACTGGGCCACGCAAAGGAGATGATTCTGTTCATACATTCTCTACTAGAAGACGAAGCTATTCGGGTGGGTGGGACGGACAAGGTAGTGCTCGGCGGCTTCAGTCAAGGCTGCGCTGCGGCGCTTATTTGCCTGTTGATGTGGCGGGGGGCGCCACTCGGCGGCATACTGGGTATGTGTGGGATGTTACCCATGGCTGGCGTGATGGCCGAGGCCATGGGTCAAAGACATCATCGGTTGGATGGACAGGATGATGAGGCGCCGGAATGCTCTGATAATGATCCCTTTGAGCACTCTGATGGCGTTTCGACTACTAGCTGGGAGGGTAATCGGCCTGAATACGATCCGGTGGAGCGAGCATTGCGTATGCTAAGAGACGAAATTGGTATCACGGTACTGGAGCTGGCGACGGGTCCATCATTTCAAGAGACACCCGTGTTTCTTGGGCATGGGACCGTGGATGATAACGTTCCAGTACGTTACGGCCAGGAGGCGTCGAGAGTCTTGCGAACGATGGGTTGTGATGTTAAGATCAAAGTTTACGATGGACTAGACCATTGCTATTCCAAGGATATGTTGAAGGACATGATAAAATTTATTGGCGACAGAGTGCCGGATTCATGACGAGCTTGGGGCCGCGGGACTACGGGTCTAGGTTTGATGGGTTTACATTGATGCGGACCGGGATGGGAGCGATTCCAATCATCTGTCTGAATCTGCACATCCAGAGATGGACAACACTTGGATGATGACCTGAGGAATGAGGAGTGTATGGCAGCTATGATTCTGGATGTGATGTCCCACGGAAAGAGCTTCCATCAATGTGTTGATTGCTAAGCGACTGGCCTACGTATTCGGCGTGTCAACCAATATCATTTAATATCTTTCAATATCTAATGGGTACTTTAGCCTATACGGATTGACAACAGCGGCAAACCTGACATGCACAGTTGTCGGAAACTTGTCGGAAGCCAGCTATTCTCGTCGCAGGCAATCAGGTCTGGCCTTTATTCGAATGTAAGGCTACTATATCTTGGATGTATTCGCCTATGGCGTCGAACAGCGCTTCGGCCACAGTTCATGTCTAGTACCACGCCGTGCTAGGTGACTTGAGGTGATCCTTCACGCGTCTTCAAAAGATTCTACCTGTCATTCTCACGAGAATGATGCAAATCTTGCCATGACTTTATTTGCTGTTCTTCCTATTTTAGGGCCGTGAATGCGTAGAGGAGCTCACACTTTGCAGATATCTCTGTATGCAATGCCGAGACTTTATAAAAGTTCATTCCAGACGACTTTTCGGTTCTGGAAGCACACTTGGCCTGCTGTTGAACACAAGAAGCAACACTTGTGGAGTCAAGTTACCCTCCATCATCATCATTCCCAGCCAATGAAGCTCGAAGCGAGGAGGCATACAGTACTTAGGCTTCAAATGACAGAAACACATCAAGTGAATTCTCATGCTTCTCAACTCTTATGATGTATGGTATCATTTCACGAAGAGAGATGTTGAGAGGTAAAAGGCACTGCTCACCAGAGAGCAGGAGATAAGCACATAAGTAAGTACAGCTATTCAACCAGACAATTACAGGTCGTCGGCATACGCTCATTCCAAGCCTTTCACAGGTTCAACCTCACCTCGTTCCTCATATAGCCCTTACTCATCCTGTAGCACAACGACAGAATAATGAACCAGTATGCCAAAGGAACACGTCCTACCTTGTATGTGACTCGCAGCGGATTCGCAGCACAATGCACAAACAAATCACATGACCGCAAACCAACCATCATCGCCACTCACTCCCAAATCTCACATACCTACCTTACCACTCAACTTTCACCCACCTCACTCTAAGCTTTTAATCGACTTACACCAAACTCACCGAAACCTCACACAGCCTACACCACATCAACCAAGCCTCATAAACCCACAAACCCAAACCCATCAACAATGACAACCCTCACAATCTCCCCCCCCCCCCCAACACCTTCCGAAACCCCTCAAATCGCCTCCATCCACATCTCATCAATGTCCTCAAACCCCTTACTCCCGCTGCAATTCCCCACGCCCGCCTCCCTCGCCGACCTCCACGACCGCCTCGCGAACGATGCCCTGCATCATCTCCATGACCATGACACGCCGCGGATCCTCGTGGCTCGCGTCGGCTCCGACGACATGGTGGGCGATGATGCTACCGGCACCGACAACAGCACCACTGACAACGAAATCAACGACAACGGTGGACGCGGACGTGTCGTCTCCTTTGTAAAATGGGACATCGTCCGGAGTCGAGGTCAAGGTCAAGGTCGAAGTCATGCCATCAAAACCCCCACCGCATCCGCATCTGCCAGCGGCTCACGACGCTTAGAGCCGGCCAACATGCTGCCAGCAACGGCGGCGGCGGCGGGGGGTGAGGTGGATGATGGGAGTAAAGAGGGGCCTCCTCGGAATAAACAGCAACACCATCCAAACTCCAAGGCGGAGGAGGCGGCGGCGGCGGCGGAGCAAGAGCAGGACAACGAAGAAAGCAAAGACGAAGAGGGGCCCGCTCCAGCGAACCGAGGATACCTCACCGCCTACGCGACCGCCGCATCAACAGCACGTCGGGAAGCCATGGGCTCACGGCCTTTTCTCCGTGAGTACTCCTCCGTACACCTTTCAAATATCTTGTTCTCATTACTCGTCCACTCTCTGCCTTTCGGTCTTTTCTTTTTCTCTGACAGTTTTATTTTTGTTTTTTCCCCGTCTTCTTTTGCCGCTCCATTCATGATTCAACCGCCGTTCTTAGCCCAACATCTTCAATCACAACTCCACCATCCCGGTATTTCCCATTACGTGAAATTTTCGGGAAATGTCGCGCGAGGGGGTCATCCACCTACCTGTATCGGCATCCCCCCCCCCCAATCCCAGTTGCCTGTTCCCGGCTTTCCGCCGACTGTGTTAGCAGCACCGGTGCCGTATTTCCCTTATCCACAAACCTCACACTTCCTTGCTGGCGCTGTCTGAGTCGGCTCCGAGGTCGGTGTTTGCCCGGTGGGGGGTTTGCCCGGTGGGGAAACACATCAGACAGCGAGGAAGACCCCAAAGACTCGGAGTCTCTCTCCTGCCTGGGCATGCTCCCCTCCAAGAAACGCTGATCCCAGACAGTTCTCGGCGGATTTCCTCTTCCCTCGGCATCGCCTTTTGTCGAATTCCAGAATGTCATTTCGGTGACATCTCTCCACGGCACGGCGGGGCCAGCGCCGCAGCGGGAACCACAGTTTTCCCTTTTATTCCCATCGCGGTTCCCACGTTACAACTGTTACCCGTGTCCACTTTGCCAACGACGTTGGCGTTGAACGTTCAAAGCCCCAAACTTTCTGGTTGCTGACATCTCATGGGCGTTCTCTCCCCGCCGGCACCGGCCACCACCGACGGCGGCGGGCCCGGGCCCGGCGGCGATGCCCGGCTCTTTTAGATTTGACGTTCCTGTGCACTGACTACCGCTTCCGAGGCCGCGGCGCGGGGAAAGCTTTGGTACATGCCGCTACGGAGGCCGCCAGAGCTGAGGGGCTCCCGGTGTTCTTTGAAAGCACGACGGACGCCCTGCCGTTCTATGAAAAGTTGAGTTTCGTAACGATTGGAGGATTTCACATGAGTCTGCCAGGCGGGGCTCCGTCGACGGATAGAGCGACGATCTACGAGGAAACCCTCATGCTTCTTGAGAATACGCAAGACTCGTGCGAGACCAGTAAGTACCACTGGTTTTGTGCGCCTTCACCGCGATGATCTGACGAGTGCACCCGGTACAAAGACCGGATAAATCCACGAGAAACGATAAATGTCGAACCGGTATGCTCTGAGTTGTAGGAAAGACGGCCCAACATCCGTACCCATGGTCATTTGCATCGGTTCGAGATCGTCGGGCCGCGACCTTCTGACCTATAATGATCAGCAAGTATGCCATCACAGTATGATGTCGGAAAGTGGAGGGCGGAAGGCGGGTAACACTCAATAAACACCCAGAACCATACCCTCCTCTGCAGTGGCCGGGCGATACAGCTCTAGACAATTCGAGGCAGCGCAGAGTCGGTCAACTATGCCCAGCCTGCTTTCGTTGCATCACAGGAATCAGTGACCAATCGAATTCCCAAGTTGAACTAGACGCATGCTGTCTCGAATGTTGCAGTTGACCGGTTTGGTTCGGCTTTGGTGCTTTTTGGGAGAGCGGTGAAACTCGTCCAGTTTGCCGCCGTTGCATCGTCCGGCGCTTGCGAATCCCCAGACGTGACATCCTCTTCCAATCGATCGATCCAGCATTTTTGTTTCCAAAAGATTGCATATAGAAACCTGTAAAGTCTTAGTAACAGAACTACTGCAACTTAACGTTTTCTTCTCCGCAGGGTAATGGGACTTTTCGGTTCATAGCATGTGAAGAATGTGGAGTCTATGAATGCAGCAGGTTGTAAGGGTCGCGGAGAAATCACAAGAATCAGATACAGATATATCAAAACGCCGTTTCACATGCAATCGAGCCGTTGCGGACGTGGAGGTGTCAGTGTGTCACCGTCCCATCGTGGCCTCGGACCGAAATAGAGACTTCGGGTATATCTTCACCGGGCAAGATTCGCCACTTGGGTCGAATAGGCAGCTGTCGATTCAATATATACCTGGTCGGAGCCGACGGCCACCGGAAACGCTAGCGATAGAGCCGCCGGGCTGACATCGTGAGACTAGCGGGATTGGGAACTCAATGACGTAAGGAGCAGCTGGGCGATTGTATGAACCCCTGTTTAGTTCTTCGCTCTGTTAGGTTAAGGGTGTGTGTGTCTGTGTGTGGTGCCTGTGTGTGTTCACGATGTCGCACAACACATGAAGTCCCCCCCCCAACGAGGGATGTGTTTTTCGGGAAGGTTCATGGCTTGCTGATTGTTGAGGCGAGGCGGTCGGAAGGCGTGACATGCAGGGATTCGTGGGGGTCTCCCGCAGGAGAAAGCGGGAAGAAGAGTCAATTAAGTTGTTGAGTTTCAAGGTCATTTGTCGAAGAACGTCAGAAGATGGTAGAGCACGAGGGCCTTTGGGGGCGCTTATTCGGCAGGTGAGCCGACGTGGCATTTTGACATTTCACGAGCAGGGTGTTGCAGTTAAAGATGCTCTCCCAAGCGGCAATTTGTTTGGAGAGGTGTCAGTTTGGCCGACTGCTGGCGGCGGCAAGATGACCGTGGAACAAACGCTGTGGGTTGGGCCAAGATGATATTTGGGCGTGGTGGTGTGTGGGTTTCTCTGGCCCTGATTCCTCAAGAAGTGGTTTCTTTCGTGCCGAGGGTGGGATAAATCGACGTCCATTTGAGATTGGCATGGTTGGTATGATGAGCAGCGAAACAGGGACGATGATTCGCAGGAGACCAACTGCCCCGCAACCCCGCGTTACCAGGAACTGAGGCTGGTCCACGGTCCACCAGATCTGGACTTTGGCTTATTTGAAGAGTGGCGAGTGAGTTGTGAGGTCTTTGGTTGGAGTATACAAGTTCTTTGACGCCGATTTGGAAATTGGGGCCGTGACACAGAAGACGCACTTCAGTTCAGGGACTGGCAAGGTCCCTTCCTCATCGGGCGCGACCGGAACAGGCGCGGACGCTCCTTCGCATCGACTCCTCCTGCCTAGCATGCCGGAGGGAGGAGACGTCGTCTAGACCGACGGCATGGAGATTGGAATCGATGGAGACAGTGACAAAGAGTCTCAACGGGGAAAGGATGACATGACAGGGGCGGGATGGGTCGAAAGGACCCTGAAGCGCAACGGCGGAACGGCGGTGATTCGGGGCGGCACACGACAGCCCGCGAGTTGTGTCATGGTTGGACGATTTCTTGGCCGTGGGTTGAGTTGTAGGTGGTAATTTCAATCTGTGTCATGGCATGGGCTGGTCCGCTTGATGGTTGGCGTGGTGGCTTGACTTTGATGGTTCCGAACAACGGCAGGCTAATAATGACTTGGTGGTGAGTGGGAGAGCAAGGTGGGAGGAGATGCATCCGCTTCTTTGCCCGCTCAAACTTGATGATGGGCTGCATATCTTAGCAGCTTCTGGACTCTAGGATGAGGGATGATGCTGTTGATGGTGGTCCCCCTGGTAGATGTTGCGTCGCAGGTTTATCCCTCTTCCAGATAGAGCAGCGGGTCTCCTGAGGTGTTGTTGTTTGTGCAGTTGCGTGCAGCCGGGCTGCATGCGACTCGACATTTGGCTGCGGTCAGCGCCGTGCAGGCGTGGGAAGTACTGAGGTGCCGCGCCGCATAGCTAGGTGGTGAATGGGCGTTTCTTGCGCGCGCGAGATGCTGGTTGAAGAGGAGGTTGAAGTTGGGACGATGGGCCAAAGAGACCTTGGTCGTCGAGTTCTGACTCGGCAATATTCGAGAATTACGTTATGGGCATCGTTGCGCTAGTCCCGAAACAGGCGGCACCGGACTTTCTATAAGGTAATGGGAGCCACTTCGCTAAAGGGGTGGGTCCCTACGTCTAGGGTACTTCACTCCAGTCTCCAGGTCTACGCAGGAAGGAATGTACGTCTGCGCTACAAGCGCCGGTCGAGGCAAGAAGCGGCGAGTGAGCTGCAGAATGGCAATAGTCGATGGTGGGGCCCCATGTTCCGCCCGAGTACCGCCGACTCGGATCGTGCAGCAACCACCACCTTGGAGTTCCTTACCTACTTTACGGAGTTTTGGGGAGTCACTGGGAACATGTACCCTTACACCTTGCAATGTAGGCACGGGTACGGAGCACGGAGCTGAAGCTTACTGAGAAACCAAGGGCCCCAAAAGACAAGATGAAATATATGAGCCGTGATTTGCCCGTTTGCCATTATGTATTTCTGTCTCGTAGCATCTTTCTAGAACGCCTGCCCCGGAATGGACAGAGATAAGGCAGCGCCCATCTCCCCTCCCAAATGTCTCGTGCTTTATCTTTCCGTCCCTCCATCGACACCATCACTTCCCTTCCCCCATGCCATTCCCAGCAACGACGACCCAGTCATCGTGCCAGACTGGGCCGAAGCGTCGACAAGTCGCACACTTTGCCATGTGCTTTTGTGGAGAATTCCCCTTCAAAGTGCCCATCCGGCCACCAAGCTGTGCCCATCACCAAAGTCACCATGACCAAAGTCTGTGAGTCGGAGAGTCCTCCATATTCTCCATTGTCAACCTTTCTTCTTTTCACGCGGAATGCAACGAAAACGGCCCTGGCAGCCTTTTTAGCCTCGTGCCTTCGAGCACACCTCCCTGTTCCCATTCAAATCCCCGGTGGCCTCTACAGAATACTGATGCTCCTGGTACGACGCAACGTAATCGCTATCAAACGTTCAATATGCCACCTAGACCTACTGCGTAGAGGCTAGACCTGCTCAGCTAACATGCCTTGACGTCTCCAAGTGCTTCACCGTACCCTGGTCTCTTCTTTGAGCGATAGATCACTTGGTCACTTTCCTATTGTTCACCCGACGTCTATTTCTCTTACCACACTTTCTTACCCTTTGCGCCCTCTTGTCTATCTTACTATCGACCGCCGCATCGACGTGCACCTCGTCGTTCGATTCCCGGCGAGCCGCAAGGTAATTCATTCCTCCGTAATTGGGTGGTCACTAGCTTGGCTCTGTTCAACAACTGATCTGACACTTACACCCCCCGCGTACCTTGGGCGTGGATGTTCGAAAGGCACAGCCCCGGGCCTACCCTGTTCTCTTTATGTTTTTCCCTTTTGCCCTGTTTCTTGACTTTGGTTCGTTAGCCGGTAGTTCCCCATTTCATTTGTCACTGACACGGACAAAGTCTCTCGCTCTCTCTCCTGCTCGTCTCATTGAGACTTTCTTGATGCCAAGCCATGCCTATGCCTGTCTCCCCAAGTATTGCATTTGCAGCTGCCGCTTTACACATCATTCCGTGTCGGTGAGGGCAAAGCAGGCACCAGGCTGCAGAAGAGGACTGCACTGCGGTGCGGTAAGAGAGTTAGAGGCAAAAGGGACGCCAGGAGGGTGTCCGTCCCATTCCATCCCATGCCATCCCGTCCCGTCCCATCTCAGTCGACATGTCCTTGCCCATGCTCTTGTCTCCATCTTGATCCCCATACTCCATCAAACCAAGGTTTGGACCATTCTTTCTTGATGTCTTTTTCGGCCGCTTGGTCCGTCAGTCGGACCATTGATACCAACGCCCGCCGGCCAGTCAGATACTGCCGCGCCTCCTCTTCCAATACACCCTCCTGCTTCTTCCTCCACCGACGCGAGACGTGCCATTCATAGTGAAGGGGTAGAGTAAGAGACTATGGCCGGGCCTGCCTCACATCTTTACAGTAGGCCGCCGGCGGTCAGGAACTTTGACCCTTTCTGGTTGGATCTCCAGCCAACCCTGACTGTGCTCCTCTCACGGCAGATCCTGTGTCAAGCGTCGTTCTGTTTTAGTATGTCTCTATCCGTCTGTCCTGGCGGGTTTAGAGGAACCGCAACACTGTCGATCAAAGATTGATCCGAAAAAAAAAGTGAACCACTGTACGAGGGGCAGCGGCAGTGTAAAAAAAGAACAGCAAGAAGGAAAAAAAAAAAAAAAAAAAAAACCTTCGCCCGGCATTTGAACTCCCCTGGGCGTGTCAGTGTTTGGGTACCATATCTCTCTCACCTACATTCTGTTATTCATTTTTTACGTGGTTGGGCCGGTAATAGAGTGAGTATTCGTAAAGGTGGGAGGAGAAAGAAAGAAGGAGAAGGAGCTTGCACATCCCATCTTGTCAGGTTCCTCCTTCTTCTTACTGTGGTTTTTTTTTTTTTTTCTTCTCTTTTCCCTTGCGCATCCATCCATCCATACCTTACATTTCTTTACCTTACCTGTAGTACTGGACTGGAGTAGGTGTGCTCTTTACCTTAACCACCTTGGCCTTTTCTTTTCCTTCTCTCTTACTCTCTCTTCCCTCTCTTCTTTTCCCTCTTCTTCCTCTCTCCCTCCCTCCCTCTCCTCTTTTATCATCCTCCTCATCTGCTCACCCCATCCATCGTTCTCGCCACCCAATCCCCATAAAATTTAATTATTTCTCCGTCTCCAACAAAACGGCCAACCTCCAAACTAGACGTTCTCCAAGGAACCCAGGGACAAGAACGAATATCCAAGACCAAGGACGTCCTAGTGCACCAGCACATCCATTAATGGATACTTGAAGCGCCATCAGAGACATTGGACATTGCTCTCTTACATATACTTTTGTCCTCCGCCTCTGGGACCCAATGACACCGATAAGCAAGGCTTATCTCATCCTTGCCGCCATCGTCACTTGAGAGTCCACCGATATCAATCCAGCAAAACCCCATTCATCCAATCCATCCAATCCCAAGTTTGGATTACTTCCCAGTCCCGGGCCCCAATTCCGGCCCTGCATCCGCACCGCACCCCCCCCAAAAAAGTACAACCACCATTACATTTCCATCACCAAAAACGGGCGCAAATCATTCCGCCTTGGCCACTCCTGTCCTGCGGCGCACACTACCTTATCTTTGCCTTTCCCCAAAGAAACTTGAAGCCGCGACCGCAACGCGCCCCCTCGGACTTCCTACATCCCACCCCAGATCTTGACGAGGAACCACACAAACTCAACACATACCTAGACAAGTACCTCTTCTCGAGTCTCTGGAATTTGGAACGCCTACCTTCTACAGAGTATCCCGTTCCTAATTCCCGTTGTCGCCTTATCTTGTACTCCTCGCATGCACGCGACACAACGCGCCTCACTACTCGGACGGATACCTATCAGCCTCCTGCTAGGTAGCTCTTGAGAACACAATCTTCTCGTGCCTTTGTTCCACCCTCGTCTAGCCTTGAAGCATCCTGGGCCCCGTTCATCTCACGCCAAACCTCGCAATCGCTACCGGCCGTTGTCCGTCTGCTGGCGTACCTGATCTTTGCCCGCTGCTGCCTCCCAGGTTTCCGACAAGCCCGTCTTATCTCAACCAGCCTCGGCGCACCGTAGCGTTATCAGTCCAGTCCCTGTGGTGGCCCGTCTGCTGTTTCGTGTTACAACACAGGCTCACCCATAGGAATTCATCAAGATCGAATTACCGCTCGCCAGCCAATCTCATTTGGCGGATCCTGCATTGGTGCTACGCACACAATTCTCAAATCTCACGTCAACTCGACCACAGATATTCTTATTCCTCTGCCGTCGATCTTGAGTGGCGGCCCAGACCTAGGACCAGCACCAGGATCAAGCCAACGAGCAACATTGCATCACTTGCTTCGCATCCCTTCCCATCTGCTGCACGCCGTGGGGCTCCTTTGAACCAGCTTCCGTCCCCGGGAGTGTGCCAGCCTCTCCCGTCTGCTTCCTTGGCCTTTGGCGAAGCCTATCGTCCTATCACCGTTGTCATATCTCCGGTTAACCCTAGGAGTAAATTCACGCCCGCTTCATTCCCCCAATCTCCAGACAAGGGCCCCGGGACCCCGATTTGACGAACCGGGTCCGTCCGCCCGTCTGCTTCCCCTGCGTCGGCCCAGCCCTGCCTGTATATACATAGCATTGTCTCTACTGCCGCGCATTACCTATCCATCATGTCCAACCCAAGTGCCGTCACCAGGACGGCTCCCATCGCCATTGCACCAAAACCTCCCCGCCGCCAGAACTCTTATCTGCAAGAGGCATTCACGAACCTCGAACTTTTCCGCGGCGGCAGCATGCCTGGACGGGAAATCGCAGAGTCTGTTGGCTCATATACCACACGTTCACTCAGCCCATGCGAATCCTGCCAACGGTCCAGGGTCAAGTGTATCGTTAGCGAAGACGAAGATAGCTGCATACCTTGCCAGGCTAGCGGATCCGATTGTTCCTTGCTCAACAGCCCCCAGCCAAGGAAACGCAAGCTGAACGGTGACTTTGACGACAGTGGTAAAAGAAGGTCAGTCTGCTCAATTTTCCCCTCTTCTCGTGCTTTCATTCTCACTCCCCTCTCCTACCAATACTCACTCACACATTACTACTACTCCCCGCCTATTCCCCCCTCCCCTCCTTAACCACATTGGCGAGTCCGTCTCCCTACTGCTCCCTCCCCGTCAGGCTGGCTCGCTTCCGCTTGAGCTTGCATTTTGCGCCCGTTTGATGTTTCCTGGGCAGCCATGGGGGCACGCCGCGGTCAGGGGGGCACGTCTGATAACGAACCTTAATCTCTGACACGTGATTGGTCCATTAGTTCACCAGCTAGAGCCGATATCAGAAGGCGAAGGCAACATCAACCCAGCCTCTCCAGCACCACAGGAAGCAGCTCTTTTCTTGAAGACATGGCGAATGTCGGAGGCCCGACTCTGCTCAAGCGGACGCTGGGTCTCCAAAATGATCGCTACAGCCAGTACATAGGCCCGACGACCGACTTCGAGCCTTCTCTCATCAACCTCTCACCATTCAACCCTCAAGATGAGAGTCTACTGGCGCGCGGCACTCTGCGCAAGGTCAGTGACGATGACACGTTCCTGCTACTACCAGATTCCAACACCCCCGGCCACGAGCATATCCTCGAGGATATCGAGGAGATTGAGGGTCTCGTGCGGCCACATGGTCGCAAGCTAGTAGACTTGTACTTCCGTATCGTTCACCCCGCCTTCCCGATTATTCAGAAGACCGTCTTCCTGGAAAAGTACGAGCGCAGTTACCGCGAATTTTCGCCTTGTCTACTAGCTGCTGTTTACCTCTTTGCCATTAATTGGTGGGAGCACGATGAAGAGCTCGCGCAAGTCCCTCGACCCAACATTCCCAACCTCGAGCGGATGATCCGGACAACTCTTGCCGACGCAATTTATCGCCCGAAACTGTCCACCATCCAGGCTGGGCTCCTTCTCTCCCAGCGACCCGAAGGCGACCAGTGGGCCCCGACTGCTCAGCTCGTCGCCACCGCCCAGGAACTTGGCCTCCACCTCGACTGTACGCACTGGAAGATCCCACCTTGGGAGAAGGGATTGCGGAAACGCCTCGCCTGGGCTTTGTATATGCAGGACAAATGGGGCTCGCTCGTTCATGGGCGGCCTTCGCACATTTTCTCCACCAATTGGGGAGTCCAACCGCTTACAGATCATGACTTTCCCGATGTCGAGTGGGACGAGAAGGACGTGGAGGAGAAGCTGGATATCGAACGCGGTCGCACATTGTTTGGTCAAATGGTACAATTGTCGCAGATTCTTGCCGAGATTCTCGATACCTTCTACTCATTGCAGGCCATGCAGAACGTCACCAACGCCGGTGGACAAGGCACGCATCTGGTTTTGGGCATGGCGAAGCCCATACAACTAAAGCTCAAGGAATGGTATGCCAGTCTGCCAGCGGCCATTCGCATGGACAGCACGTATTCGTCAATCTCTGCCCCGCCAGGTCGTTTGTCAAGCATCGGATACCTCCACCTTGCTTACTTCGCCGCCGAAATCACACTCCATCGCCGCATTATTCGTTCGCTCGAAGCCACCGGGTCGGCTGTTGATTCCTATGTTCAGCACATTTGCCGAAGCGCGGCCAAGGCTCGTCTTATTTCCGCAATGGACTTTGTCAACCGTTTGAACACCTCGCACCTTCGTTCCTTCTGGTACTTTGCGTCCAAGACCAACTTTGCCCTCATCGGAACATTTGGCTCTCTTTTGTGGGCGACCTCCCCAGGACGAGAGGAAGCCGACTGGTACCGTAGGCGCTTGGGTGAATACCGCTGGACGTTATCCGTGAGCTCGAAGCCTGGCGAAGGCAAAGGTCTCACCATGTTTGCCATGACGATGCTCGATATTTCGACCGGCCTGCTCAAGAAACTTCCTGAGAAACCTTCGATGAGCCGCAGCGGAAGCGTGGTGGATATCGGACTTGGAAGCATTAGCAGCAGCTTTGCTAACAATGGCTTGCTTTCTCTTGGGCAGAGCGCGCCAGCAACCATGAGTCTAGGAGGATTTAGCGGACTGCCCAGCGCCGACGTTAGCAACGCTCAGAGCCCCCTCAGTGTGGACAGCAGCGATGACGAGATGTACGAGACATTCGCTCCGACGTCGGGTATGGCAAGCTTGGCCGAATGAAGATTGTAGACTGCAGCGGCGATAAATGGACCATCGCTAAAGCTGTAGAAGGGAGAATAATGACAACACGAAGAGACGAAGACTCGCCCATGCGGGAGATGCCATCCAAGAGAATGGTGCTTTTCTTTTGGAGGATTTTAGGATTGCATCATGATCTGCAGGATACCACTGGTTGATGGGCGGCGGGCCTCGCAAAGGCTGTGTCAGAAAGTTGGGAAGAGAGTGTTGCCCGCCGTCCACGACCTCATATTGATGATAACGCGGACTTTTTTTTTTTTTTTCCTTTTTTGCTTTTTGGTCGGGATCGATGATGCGAGAAGGGGAACCCAACGCGATTCACTCGGTGTCGGCGCAAAACTCTCGAGGGGATATATACCATCCATTATCTTTGAGCGGGAAGAAAGTCGTAGCATCGTTTTTGGGAGGCTGAGCGATCCATACCTTGCCTTACATATTAGCATAGATTCCTAAGCTTCTTTGATGATGTTATATATACCTTGATGTCTTGCGATGGTTTTAGCTTACACACCTTGAGTGCTTGCCTACGGTGTTACGGTACCTTGATGTCTCGCCTAGTCGGTTAGGCTAAACGATGGTCGGTCTTACCTTTTAGTAACATTTGGATACGCCTGTTGAAGACAGATGGAAATGAAATGGCGCGAGCCGCATTCGTTAAGCTGGTGAGAGAAAGCATGGGACTTCATAAGCTTCAATCAGCGGAACCAGCCCCCTCAAGTATCCAGATACGCACTCAACCTGAATCACGCAATCGATGGTGACATGGTAGCCATCAGCCTCGCCTTAACGACTGGTAACGAAAGCCAAACATCTTACGTCGACAGCATTCAGTTATCAATACCTGAGTGTGAGATCGGTAAGTATCGGCCTAAGGCAAGATTTCGAAACAAGAAAGAGGCCAATATCGCGGTTTGCAGCCTGCGTGGTCCTGACCCCCAAATCATCACTGTAATGACCACTTTGAGTGTGAGGTGCAGCTTTACGGCGTGCGATGATGCGGGCGATCCTACTTGGGACGGCTAACCGGCACACAGAGCGCTATTTTGGATCATTCTCTACAGGAAAGAATTCGCAAACTATAGTAATTGAAGATGTATTGCCTAGATTTCGACGTTTAAGTCAAAGTGAGGCCAACGATGGCATTTTGTCAAGGTACTATGGTATTCCTTGGTAGGCCTCATTACATAATCCCGCTCTCCCCCCGGGTGCCCCGCTACACCCGGCGCCAGAATTCCAAAGGTAGCGGCGCAACACAGAATCCCCACCACCTCCGAAATCCCACCTTTACCTCCCTCCAACCTTGGGAACTATCCCGTCCCGCCGGAACCCATCTCCGCCGCGACTTTCCAAAAAAACCACCCCGCGTCCACGATCACGGATTTGACATCGATCACAACCACACGACCAGCCAAACCTCCCACGAAACCTCCTCTTTCCCCCAAAATCCCCATCGCAAAATTCTCCTACCATCGAGGCCTTCCTCGAACCAACCGCCCAAAATGCAAGGCTTCAACATGGGACGCTACGTCCCGCCCGACCATGAAGGCACAACAACAGGCAACCGCCTCGCCCGCAAACACCCCCTCGGCGCCCGCGCCTCCAAACCGGGCATCCTCGTCGTCCGCTTCGAGATGCCCTTTGCAATCTGGTGCTCCACCTGCCCCAAGCCCACCATCATCGGGCAAGGCGTCCGCTTCAACGCGGAAAAGAAACGCATCGGGTCCTACTTTTCGACGGCGGTATGGCAGTTCCGCATGAAGCACGCCGACTGCGGCGGCTGGATCGAGATCCACACGGACCCCAAGAATACAGCCTACGTCGTCGTCTCGGGCGCCAAGAAGCGGGATACAGGCGAAGAAGGGAGGGTGCCAGAGGAAGGGGAGATGGTCATCCTCACGGAGGAAGAGCGCGAGAAGCTACGAAGTAATGCATTCGCCTCCCTCGAGAAAACGATTGAAGACCGGCAACACCTCGCGCAGGCGACGGAGCGCATCGATGAGTTACAGGACGCTGCCAACAAAGCTTGGGACGACCCGTACACGCGCAACAAGGCCCTCCGCGCGACGTTCCGCGTGGGACGGCACCAGCGCGAGAGGGAGGCTGCCGTGGGCGAAGCCCTCAAAGACAAGATGAGTTTGGGGATCGAGCTGGTGCCTGCGACGGAGGAAGATGCGCGCCGCGCGAGGCTGGTTGAGTTTGGGGGCGTTGGGGACGGGGTTGATGAGGCGGGGCAGAAGGCTTTTGCGAAGCCGCTTTTTGCGTCGTCGTCGTCTTCCTCTGCGCCTTCTGCTTCGAGCAAGGACGGCAAGTCTACGAAGACGACGACGACGACGACGACGACGGGCAAGGCGGCGCTACTGCCCAAGGGAACACCAAAAGCCGAGATCCTCGCTTCCAAGAGGAGGGAGACCATCGTCTCCGAGATTGTGGGGAACACGCGCATGGCAAGAGATCCGTTTCTAATCGAGACCAAGGGGGCGGCGGAGAGGTCTTCGGCGCCGAGGATCCCGGGGTTGAAGAGGAAGCGTGATGAGGCTGGTGGTAGTGGTGTGTCGGAGGAGCGGCGGGACGCAATGAAGACTGCAGAGCCCGAGCAGAGTTTGCCTCCCTCAAAGTCTCTCGTGGCTTACGATTCTGATTCGGATTGAGAAGGGAGCCTCCTTTACTTTGATTTCGCGCACGAGCGCTTCATGTTGTGCGGCGTTTTAACGGATATGATTTAGAGCAGAGATACCCCGGACATTAATTGGCGTTAGTGTTGTTTTACTACAGAACGATTTTCCTTGTTCACATGGACACATTCGAGTATGCGTTCTTGAGTGAAGATTACCATAATATTAGGGTTCAGTAAAGCCCCAAACACTATCATCCGCCATATCCCAGTTACAGTTTGTCACAAACTATTAAAGATGCGCCATCCTATCGTATTCAGGGTACATCCAAAATACGCCACACGGAGTTACAGAGGGAAGTTGTTGCTGTTTGCATGGCTGTTACTGACTATCTGATAGCTCCTAGAGTCACTGGTCCGAGTTGATCGAACAAATTGGAATCCAACCTGGGATGGTATGCATGCTGTGCATGCCCACGTCGTCCCCATCGGCCACTAACGTCTCTCCTCTTGAGCCATGATCATCATCATAATCAAACCCAATCCTATCCGCGATTATCTCATGTGAAAACTCCAAAGCTGATTCCCATAAAAATGCCCTTGCCTAGTCCCTTAAACACAAAGATGGAAGATTCCCGGCCTCGCTGCTCGTCGCTGTTGAGGGATCACTAAGTGCCCTTTAGCAGGACCACGTTGGGTAGGGTTCCAGAATGCAATGTCCAATCACAACCCGGGGGATATAAGTCTCCTGCGACGCCATTTCCATGAATGCTCTCTCTAGTCGTGTTCCCTTCAAATGTCCCGAGTGCACTTCATACATCGTCAAGGCGGCCGGCGGGTTCCTCGTCATCGTCGCCGAAGCTACCAACGGATGACATGTCGTCATCGTCTTCGCTCTCGGCGCCGGCTTCGTCGGCAGCATCTTTGCTTGCGTACTTTTGGACGTACTCTGAAGGCCCTTGTTAGCAAGATATCTTGACCCCTTCCAGCCTACTATTGCTTCTACGCACCCTTAACCTTAGCGTCGTAGCTCTTGGGTTCTCTTATCATCAGAGCAGCCGCCTCGCCGTTCAAGGGGTCCGTCGGGTTCGGGTATCGAAGAAGCTGAGGCAAGAAGACCTCGAAGATGTTGATCATGTCGAACATGGGCGACCAAGTCTGGTTGATGACATCCAGGCAGACGGAGCCCGACCTATTCATTTTCCCAGATCAGCCCCTTGCTCTGGTTTGCTCCCTCTCCCATACCACTTATTCATCCATATGTATCTCAGTCGAATATTGTCTACTCACAGCTCGTCGATGTTGGGATGGAAGATGCGATTCACAAAGCCGATACTCGGTGACTTATAGGGGTACTGGTCAGGAAGCTCGACATGGACCTTCCAGACGCCGCCTTCGAATGGAGCTGCAGAGAATAAGCAAAACTAAATGGTGCTTTGGTATTGCTTGAACTGACTCTCGGTAGGTCCCTTAAATCTAACATAGAACTCTTGCCTGGGCGGTGGGGTTAGGATCGGAGGAAGTCGTCGAATGGGTCTAAGCCTTACACTTGACGTAGTGTTAGTCGCAACAGCTCTGAGGAGGGGCTAGGGGGGTAACGTACTGTTGTCGTTCACCAGAGTAACCTCATAGTCACTCATCAACCTACAAAGGTTAGTATATCAAGCAAGAGGTGGTCGGTCGGCAAATCGCACATCCTGCGTCAGGTTAGCAAGCTGTCAAAGGTTATGGAATAACTCGGGCGCCGTTACTTCATGACCTAGACAAAAGACAGAGATGTGAGCTTGCTGCCACATTATCATACAAAGGCTCCACTAGCATTGTAGACTTACATCAGTCTCGATTCTTCTGCGTGGGCTGCTCATCTTGTCGATTGCGCACGAGGTGTTCGGACGACTATTCGATTAAGGTAGAGTTGTTGTAAGCCGGATGCGGGGGAGGATGGGTCGATGTTGGCGAAGAAGTTTCCCTATATATACGTTCTCGCCGCCGGGTCTCAAAAGGTCCTTTCCTATTCGTGATGTAGCTTGTTGTTGGTTTGGGAGTCGTGAGGAGTGCAGTGGGTGGTTACATAGAGGAGGAGAAGGTCGGATCGGGTTCCTGACGCCAAGTCACGCGCAATGATGATGTGGGCGATCCCGGACCATGAGTGATGAGTGCAACGATAAGGAAAGGTGGGCCCGAGGATTAGGCGGCTAGGCGCGGATCTTGCCAGCCACACAGGTTCCCTTACTGTCTGTTAGAGCCCACTGCCCACCTACCCTTGGGCTCTTACATGACTAAGACAATGCGGGACAATGCAAGTCTGAATCGTCTCGCAGGAACAATGTCGAAACTGAAGGTCGATGTTGGAGAGGCAAAACGTTCCACAGATATTGAAGAACTACATACAAAGCCGCAGATGCTTTCAAAGTCAAAGAAGAATTGCCTGGAATTCAATCGCCAATTCTTCATAATTCTGTAACGGCATCTAGTCTTACTCCAGGCTGTAAGTACACAGTTCTAGCTGAACTTAAGTCACCTTAGTCATTCAGAGCCAGATCAGCCAACAGACACCGGCAGTTCCGACCAGCAGAGTTCGCAAGAATGATGTAAGTGCTTGGGGCTGTATAACAGCGCAGTACCGTGAGGGCCGTTCCGTCCAACGAAGCCGCCTGCTTGCGAGAACCCTTGAGACATTTCTACAAGGAACAACCCATTGTTCCACGCAAGTACGAATATCGGATGGACTGCAGTTGTGGGCAAGGTTGTACGCTGTCACGAGCCAGGAAGGAGACGCCGTTCTCTTGTGGGAGGGGGTTCTATCCGTGATACCGGCCGCCCGTCACTACCTAATTCTACGCGGGGACCCATCTTATACGCAGTGAAAGCGGTGTCGGTTGACCATTACATACTAAGGCTAAGCCAACGAGAATATGCTCCAAAAGGTCAAGTCACGCGAGCGCCATCATCCCAAGCTTCGGGTTCGCTAGTCAGCTTGCCCCAAGCCGATCTGGGTCAAGGGAAACCTTGGGCATCCCAATGCCCGTCCTTGCGGAGGGCCGAGATCAGAAACCGCCGGGCCCGAGGCAAAGTTGCCTCGGTCTTAGCTCACTTACCTCAGCACCGCGCCCTAAAGAGGATCAGCGTTGTACTGGCACCCTATGGACGAGAGAGCGCAGTACAGCTCACTAATCCCTTCCCAGAAAAAAGGTACGTATTGTTGAGAGGCATCTGGAGGGGGCCACCGAACGTGCCTCGGCGCCCTGTCCAATCACGGAGGTTGGTCGCAGGTGGACCGGACACCGTTCCTTGGACCTTGGGGGGAACTTTCCCAGCGAAGCGTCCAGCACGGCACCTGTGTGGCCAGCTTTGTGAGATCGACCCGCTTTTCTCATCTCTAACCCCCCAGCCCACCTGCGCAGCGAAGCGGCGGGAACGAAACACCACCGGTAATTTTTTGGAGATACTCAATTCTACGCAGCAAAAACCATCATGACTTGGATAATAAAAGATTGCGCTTCGCCCTTCAACGCAAACTTTTCTTAAACTTTTCTTCTCCACACGGAAAACATCAGCATTAACACGATCAGATTTGCATTCTTGCATTCTCTTTTTTCCTGCACTTGCATATTCCATTCATACGTTTACTTCTTATTAAAGACAAAAAGGTACTTGTCTGCCCATATGTCTCTCCATACAACCCGAAGTACCTGTCTGAGGTCGTGTGCTTTTCTACTGAGAAGCACGCGACCCTCGACAGCAGCGTCTCTGATGCGACCCATGTATCCCGCTGTTACGCAACCATTGCAGATGCGACACAGCTCGCATTCTCCCATGGGTACAACTTCTGCAAACCAAAGAAAGAAAGTCACACTTGGTTCTTTGCGCAGTCTGTACAAGAAGCGTGAGCCAATCACAGTAATGACTGCGCACGACTTCCCCAGTGCCCACGTTGCAGACCATGCTGGCATGGATATTATCCTTGTAGGCGACAGCTTGGCCATGGTTGCACTTGGGATGGAAGACACGAGTGAAGTTGTGGTAGAAGAAATGCTGCTTCATTGCCGTTCTGTCGCAAGAGCCACCAAGTCCGCATTTACTGTAAGTCTACTCTAGATCTAATCTGCAAATATCGTATTGATACAAAATTCAGGTTGGCGATCTGCCCATGGGCAGCTATGAAATAGCTCCGGAACAGGCTCTGGAAACTGCCATCCGCTTCGTCAAAGAGGGCCGCGTGCAAGGCGTGAAGCTCGAGGGTGGCAAGGAGATGGCCCCCACAATCCAGAAGATCACGTCCGCGGGCATCCCCGTTCTCGCGCACGTGGGACTTACACCGCAACGGCAGAACGCCCTTGGCGGCTTCAGAGTGCAAGGCAAGACTTCCGACGGGGCCCTGAGGCTTCTTGAGGATGCACTCGCCGTACAAGAGGCCGGTGCTTTCGCCATGGTCATCGAGGCTGTTCCCGCTGAAGTCGCAGCACTTGTCACGGAAAAGCTCTCTGTCCCAACCATTGGCATCGGCGCCGGTAATGGCTGCTCCGGTCAGGTCTTGGTGCAGGTCGACATGACCGGAAACTTCCCTCCTGGCCGATTCCTGCCAAAGTTCGTCAAGAAGTACGGTGACGTCTGGAGCGAGAGTCTTCGTGCTATCGAGACCTATCGGGACGAGGTGAAGAGCCGACAGTATCCTGCACCAGAGCACACCTATCCCATTTCCAAGGAAGCGCTTGACGAATTTACCAGCGCTTTGGAAAAGTTGTGAGGAGTTGACCGCGTTCGGTGGCTAATAGATCATTGCTTTGCGTCGCTTTCGTGCTGCATTACCGGTGTTTGGGAGTCTAGAGGGCGGAGGCATTTTCATCGTTTTTCAGCCATAGGATACCATGTAATAGCATACTTAATCTCAGCCGAAGGCTGGATTCATAGCATAAGAAATCACAAGCTGACCGCTTGAATCTTTGAAGCACTATTGCAAGCATGTTAGCATTTGCATCTGCTACGAGTAAAATAACTGCTTCATGAACGTACACTATGCAAGTTTCCGACAATCTCGTCGAGAGAGGGGGCAAAAGAGTCATTGACGTAACAAAAGACGCTGTCTGTTTCTTGAAGCTTGAGCCTCTTGCGCAGATACCAGATGACAGTGTGGAAAGTCTGCGTAGATGAGATCTTGGCCACCCCTCGAGCGAGCGAGGGTGCACTTCCGACAGCCTTGAATTTGACGACGACTTTGTCTGAGGGATACTCGCCTGCGCTGCTCAGAGCAGAGGCTACATCGCGAGGTTGGGCTATCAGGATGGCTGAGGCGGACATGGTGAGTGGCACTTCCGGAGAGGCTGGACGATCTGGGATGGTGGCAGGCGGAGGTGACGCCGAGTCTGACCTCGGGATGCCAGGCGACGATGGAGTAGTCATTTTCGGATGCTGCGTTGCTATCTATAGTGGATGTATGGTCGAAGAAGCGTCAAAATTAGAAGTGTAAGAATCGTGAGCGGTGTCGAGCTAGCCGAGTCATCAGATACAGAGAGGTTGTTCGGATGAACAGAAAGTACAGGAAGGAAGGAGGTGAGGTTGGAGATGAAAGAGTGAGACTAGCCATTCATTGTGTGCTAGGTTTGGCAGGTGGTCGACGGGGCCCCGTGAGTGGTTACTGCTTGAGTGCGCCCTGGGCGGGCTTGCCAGGCACCTCCCGTCAAGCACCTCAAGAACCTTCTGTTCTCCAGATACAACTACACACCCACCATCAATTACATATTTAACAACCTGGAACTGTCTAGGCAAATTTCGAAGCGTCTCTTCATCATGGTCCCGCGATGCTTAGGGCGACTACGCTTAAGAGCACAAGATCCGATAATCTCGTAGGCCAAAAGGTCTGGACAATAGGCTATCTATCTAGCACCGTGCATGCACGATGACCGCAGAGTACCGTACTTGGAGAGAAAGATGCAGGGAATCGATGCAACGACCCTCGGCCTCAGGCGCGTAGCCCTGAATCGACGTCTCTCGTCCTCACCGCATAAGCCACGCTCATTACCTTACCTAGCAGAGAGCACAATATGCTGTGAGCAACACTCGAGCGAACGAGTGATTCGCAAGAACGCTTTCTGTCGCGGGGAGCCAACTCGTAGTCAGGCTACTCATAGCAATTCACTTCTCCTCCAGGCCTGCTTAGTGTCGGAGAGGCATGCAGACGTGACACAACCGTAAGAAGTCATCTCTGATTCACTTGACCTTCCTTATTCCTACGCCACACAATCCCAAATGAGATGTTACTTGCCATCGTGGTCATGAGCATATTTATAAGGCGTGTTTTGTGCACTTTCGATTGTTTCTTCTCCCAAACATTCTTTTAATCGAGCGAAACTCAATTTCTTACATTGCCTGCAGAACTTCCAACCCCTTTCGAGATCTTGACCTCATCGTGCCCCAGGGTCGCCCAAATCCCCTAAAATGGTAGCAACACATGCTATGCTCGTGCGCAAGCAAACGCGTATTGTTGAGGACTTGGGAAGGTCGGCTTCTGTCTTTTACCTAGACGGCTTGTATCTCGACGTTCCCGCCGTCATTGCTGTGGCGCGTCACGGTCTCGTTCCTCGCGTGAAGGATGACCAATTAATTCGAGACCGAATAAGCCAGAGTATCAACGTCCTCGACCACCATGTCGAAAACGGCTGGGTCGTGTACGGCGTCAACACGGGCTTCGGCGGCAGCGCCGACTCACGGACGGAACAGCTCAAGAAACTACAAATTTCTCTGCTCCAACACACCCAAAGCGCTATGATCGCCTCCTCTGACCTGACCGACAGTCAGGTTGATCAAGACGGACAGTCCCACGTCATTCCCACGGCTTGGGTGAAGGCCGCCATCGTAATCAGAGCGAACCAGAATCTCCGCGGGCATAGTGCCGTCAGGCTGGAGGTTATCGAGACCCTTCTCAGCCTTCTCCGTCACGACATCACGCCGTTGATTCCTTTGCGAGGCACCATCTCGGCATCCGGGGACTTGATGCCCCTATCTTACATCGCGGGGACTCTGATCGGGGACCCCAACATTTCCGTCACCATTGGATCAGGCCCCAGCAGAAAAGTCATGTCTGCCCGTGATGCACTGAAACGATACGACATACAGCCTGTTGAGCTGCAGCCAAAGGAGGGCTTGGGCCTGATCAATGGGACTGCACCCTCTGCTGCCTTGGCTGCGTTGGTAATTCACGAAGCGAACCAACTCGCAGTCCTCGCCCAAGGGCTTACCGCTTTCACATCCGAGTGCCTACTTGGTAACGTCGAATGGACTGATGGGTTCATTCACAGAATTCGACCTCACCACGGACAGCAAGAAGTGGCCAACAATATTCGCAACTTCCTCAAGTCCTCCAAGTACGTGATTGGTCTGGAAGGTAAGAAGCGGACAGGCCAAGGTCTATGGCAGGACAGATACTCAACACGAACCGCGCCACAGTGGATGGGCCCGTACCTTGAGGACCTTCAACTGGCATATAGGCAAATCCAGACCGAGCTCAACTCAACGTCCGATAACCCAGTCATCGACATAGGCGTTGGCGGCGATGTGACCGCAGGCGACGTGTACTCCGGGGGCAACTTCCAAGCGACCGCCATCACCTCCGCCATGGACAAGACGAGAACTGCACTGCAGATGATTGGGCGCATGCTCTTTTCGCAGTGCTCCGAGCTGATCAATCCGGTCACGAACAACGGTCTCGACCCGAACCTGGTCTTTGGAGACCCTGACCAGTCCTATACTATGAAGGGCATCGACGTCAATATGAGTGCCTACATGTCGGAGCTGGCAGCGCTCGCGCATCCCGTCTCGTCACACGTCCAGTCAGCCGAGATGCACAACCAGGGCATCAACTCCCTTGCTTTCCTCTCAGGCCGCCGTACCATGGAGGCCGTCGATGTCTTATCACACATGTGTGCCGCTCACCTCCTTGTATGCTGCCAGGCAGCCGACTTGAGAGCCTATCACGAGAAATTCCTCTCCTCTATATCTTTGTCGACTTCCATGACAAACTTGGCCTCCTTGGTATTGGCAGATAAGAACAGCAAGAGCGAGGGTCAGACGAATGAGACAACGACGACAGCCACGGCTTTGGACGAGCTGATCAGAGCTTGGTGGTACGGGGCGAACAAGTACAGCCACAACCAGCGCTGCTCCGTCGTTGCGTCCAAAGCCGCCTCCCACATCATGGACTCCATAGCCCACGATGGATCTAGCTGCGTCTCGTTGATGCAAGTCCTGGCCGTCCGAGACGAGTTCCGGCAAACCATGGAAGCGTGGGTTGCCGACCCATCCAATCACCCCAACTCGAACTCCACGTACCCTGAAGGACTAGGCCAGGGCTCTGCAGCGCTTCACAGTCTCGTGCGCCAGGAATTGGGAGTCCAATTTCACCAGGGCCTTAGAGAAGAACAGCCTAGTACGATTGGCACCAGCGTTTCAAAGATCTACGAGGCCACCCGTCAGGGCTCCGTCGTCCAGAAACTATTGCCCTGTCTTTTTCACGATGACGGAGAGATTGAAAGATATATCAGTGACGGCGGAGCGTGGGCTCGCAACATGCCGAGCCAACCCCTAGTTGATGACCGATACCTGCCGGCGTCGCTGGTACATGAGCGAGGACAAGAAAAACTGAAGAGGAAGCGGGAGGAGTAGATCTCGTGGTGGCTTTGGCTCGTCACGCTTATATATAGGATAGACAGACCTTGGCTAAACTCAGCTCCATTTGAATAAAGAGAAGCAGAAAGTTATTGAGTACTTCACACTGAATTCTGAGCTCTGAAATGAGTTGTCAATTGTTGACGGATAGTCCATGTGTGCATTTCAGTATAATACATCGCACTCGAAAGTGGCAATGAGCCAGCCGTCTTAATCTCAACTCAAGGTGAAACCGAGCCACCCCCAAGCATTTGACCACCATTTTTTCTTCCTTATCGACTAGACTATTAAAAATCCATATCCTGATTGGTTACACGATTACATACGGACTACTTTTTGTCTGTAGAATGATGTGTTTTGCGAAAGATCAAAGGTATGGATGGTATAGTGCGTATTAGTTGAAGTTTCGCGGGGTGAGAGAACGTGCTTCGAGAACATAGACACCAACGAGTCAAAAAGAAAAGACGATATATAACCAACCAGCCAAACGAACCAAGTCAATCCCTCAAAAATCAAGTAAAGGAGACGAATATTACTTGATGTGACACAAAAAGCAAAAATCAATGTCCCTAGCAAGGCTCGAACTTGCGACCTTTGGATATCTCTAGATGATCTAGAGTCATATGTATGGATATGAGACCAACGCTCTACCGACTGAGCCATAGAGACTAGCTGATATCCCTCATTTGCGAAAAGCATTCTCATGAATGGACCCTGCTGAACGAAGTCGGTCCCCTCCCCACTGAGAAAGCCCAAGAGCCCACCTCAGGCCCGTGGGATGGTGGGGCAGCCAGCGCGCGGTGCGGCACGCGGAATGCGCAGCACTAGGTCCACTACAGTAAACGCAGACGCATAGAAGCTTTTCGCCTGACGTGCAACCGAGGAACGAACGCGTGGGAGAACAGAACCGTCCGGTTCAAAAGCTATGTAACTTGCGCATCATCGAAACCTAATTCGCATGACAAACAAACCCACATCACTAAGGAATTCCCTTTTCTTCACCTCATTTCAGACACGATAAATTTCAGGAATCGCCTTGCTCGAAAGTGACGAGTCACTCTCTGTTGTTCCTACCTACCCACCTACCTCACCTCACCTCACCTAGACCAAGCTCGGGCCGCTTGCAAGAACGCTGGCGTGGCTGGTTCGCAGACCCGGCGTCTTTCTCGTGACGAGACTAGCATGAATACACGATAGCTTCTCATAGCAGAGATCGTGGCTGTCAATGCACCCCCGGAATCCGGAGATTTGATGTAGTTATTAGTTCGTTGCGTGCTCGAAGGAGCTGACACTCGATATATCTCGTCTCCAAACCGACTCAGTGACATAATCAAAACCTGGAATGCACGATGACATTCATCTAGGATACGAGGGGGTGTATGAAATGCTTGAATTATCCTTAACGCCTTGTCTGAATAACACAAACACTCGGGCTGCTTCACAACACCCGCAGCATCCTACTTTCCCAAACCATGCAAGTTTTCTTTTCGTGTTCAACGTACAATATACACAAGCATAGACTGTTCAATGTGATATCTACACCGTGGTTCATTAAGACGCGCCGTCCTAGTTTCTCCTCCTATCGCATGTACGGCCTCTGGTGATAATGATGCTGATGGCCGACAAAGTGCTGCCGCCCTGCCCGCGCCAAAAAAGAAAATGAAAAATTGAGCCGTCGTGGTATAAGATAATCCATGCCAAACGCCACTGTGCATGCAATGATATCAATGCGAGCCGACCTATTAGTGAAAGACGAAGTGAAGAGAAAATAAACATGACCGGAAACCAAACATGGTTTCATGTTGGACAGTCTACTGGTATCATTGATTCCACAACAGTGGAACGTATCCGTAGCTTTTTGATGATAATGCGCCGTGCATTGCAACGGCAAGTAGGGGATCGAGAAGAACATTGGGAAGCAGGGCAGAGTCGGTGTCAAAGTGTTGGGCGACATGACGAGGAGTCCATGGGTTGGCCTGGTCTACAAGGAGTCGTCCGTGTATTCGTCGTCGCGTGAGTGTTTAGATCGGTATCTGGGAACCCGGCCCAGTTGGCTGAGAAGGTCGTCCAGCTCGGCCCAATTGTCAGTGTTTTCGGCAAACTTGCGATGCTTGCGTGTGAGAATGTGCTTCGAGTTGTTAGCGTGACAGTATTATTATTCAAGTCCCACTTTCCACATACCTCGTCAAAGTCCTTAAATTTGTCCTGGCAATTCTCACAATAGCCTGGCTTGAGGTCGCGCTTGCTCTTAGCAAGCGGAGCCTGGGTCTTGGAGCTGGTTCTTGAGAGCTTGGAGCTCTGTTTCTCGGCGTCCTCCTCAATGAGCTCCATACGCCTGCTGGTGGTTCGAGAAACACTAGTAGATCTAGTAGACGTCGCTTCCAGAGACATCTCCGTGAGCCGCCGGGAGCTGGCGTCTTGGGGAACGGGGGCACCCCGCTGCAACACCTTGCGTTGCAAACCATGCACCTCCTTACTCGTACCGGCCTTGGCTCCGTTGATGCCAGAAGTAGACGAGATCATGTTCGACCGGATAGCCGAAGTCACGTTGGATGGCTGCAATCCAGAGGCGACGGGCTCACCGGCCAAGAAACGCCCGTTGCCGGTCCGTCCTGTGAAAGCATGTTGAGTCCGCCCGAAATCGATCGGGTTTGATACCACAGCCTTGGGAGGGTTGAAGACATCCATGGGCTTCATGGCAGCCCGCAATTTATTCTGTCCCTCCTGCATCTCAGAAAGCGAGCGCTTGCCAACAGCTGCCTTTGGCGCAGGCACTTCGGGAGGCTGCAGAGACGGGCTCTCCTCGGCCGCAGGCTTGACGACACGCTCCTTGTGTTCCTTTGGATCCTTTTGCTGCGTTGACGGTTTCCGACTGGGCCGTTCAACGGGTTCTGGCTCTTCGACAAATGGGCATCGGCCCTCGGTAACAGTTCTGAACTGCGGCCACTCGCCGTGGTACTTGTTATTGACCTTGGGATACTCCCGCACCATAATAGGCTTCTGCTTCTCGTCAATGTCGTAGATGTAGATATATGGCCCCTTGAAATTGATCATTTCCCGGCTCGTGACAGCATCCGAGGGACCGTTCAGGCGCTCATGCTGCAACAGCTGCAGCAGACCGGGCTCCTCCGTAGCCTTCTTTGTCCCCACGTTTCTTGCAGAGTCGCGGTTGGCGCCATATGCCGCGACGACATGCGGGTCAGGCTCCAGCAGAAACTGCAATATCCTCTGGAACTTTTCCACCGACCAAATCTTCTTTCCCATGTCCCGAGCCTTGTGAAGTACATCGTTACTCTGGGTTGATCTCGTCCTCCGGGCTCTGTCATCGTGAGCTTGAGCTCGCCTCGAGGTCGTCTCTAGCAGGAGACGTCTTCGTGCGTCGGTAGACCGGTCGAGAAGGGAAGGGTTGATGGTTTGAGGCTGCTCCTCGAGTTCGGCATCGTGTGCAGCAGCTTGCACGTCTTCCTGCGCAGGTATCGGTCGGGCGGTCACAATGTGGGTGATGCTACTGGAAAAGAATCGCTCGTCTCTCTATGCAAGAAGTTGTCAGTGGACATGGAGCCAACAAATTCATGGATGGCAAGCATTGCACATACGGCTCCAAGAGACTGAGCTTGACGGGCAAGCTTGGCCCTCTGGTCTTCCGGGACACTATCAAAGTAAAAGACCATCTTGGGAAACCTTCCGCGGTACTCTGCCTGCCATTGGCGGATCCTCTCGACATTACTAGAGTCATCGTGGTGTGTTGATCGTTCCTTTGTTATGGGACGGCCGACTCGCTGGGGAAGCTGGGAAGCCTTTGTGACCTTTGAGGGCGACCGAAGTTGACGCGAGCCGACATTTTCGACAACCTGCTTCTTGAACGGAGGTGGCTGGGCGTAGAGCTCCTCCCGTTGGATGTTGGCATGAGAGCGCTTCTGTTTGGCGTGAGCCAGAGCAGAAGCGGCTCTCAAGGGTGAATTGACCACATTGGGGTTGCTAGACAAAGGCGTTCGTCTGGTGGACATGGCCGAAGGAGGGATGGGATTCGGTGATAGGGATATGGCTGCCATAAAAATGCCCAATCAATATGCTTGATGTGAGAAGGCTGTTGAATACTATCGGTCGGGTCTGAGTGGTTCGGAGGCGCTGCAAATGAGAGAGAGGAGACAGAATGTGAGTATCTGTGGTGGTGATTGTGGTGGCTGCGAGAGGCGGGGGGGTTTGCTGCTCTGTGGACAAGCACGCGACGTGGGAGGCTACTACACGTCGCTCACGCGTTCCAACAGAGACCGTGTCGACAAGTTCACCAAGACATTGAAGACGGAGTTTGAGTCTGGAAGAAGTTGCAAAAATCCACACAAGCGGAAGAGAAAGGAGGAGGAGGGGAGGGTATCGTCGTCGGAGTCGTCGTGAAGGGCAGCACCTGAGAGGTGTGTGGTGAATGTGCAGAGGAAAGAGCTTTCTTAATCAAGAGAGTGGTTGGTGTTGTGTGTGTGTGCGTGTGTGTGGTGGGAACACTGGGAAGAGAGGCTCCCCCCCGTCGTCCACTCTTACCAGACCGTGGCCCCCCCCCCCGGGCTTACCCAAGGACCCATGGCAGGACCCAAGTCGCGCTTGACGAGTTTGGGAGGGGAACAACAGCGCTAATCCCAGTTGGATACGCCCAAAAACACGCACGGGCCAGACCTCTCTCCAGCAACGGGCCAAATTTGCTTGGCCCAGCGCGTCTTGCCAGTCAGCGCTCACAGTGGATGCTGCCGCTGTAGTACAGGCATAGCTCGCTATAATTCCGGGCATGGTCCCTACCTAGGTATGGTAAGGTCCCCAACTTTAGTGAACCTCTCTACCTTACCTTACCTACCTTAGGTAAGAGAACCCAAGGCCCACCTCCCGTCAACAATAACAACCTCTCGGGCAAGGCACCCGGGTGCTAGGCGACAGGCTGTCTGCGGGTGGATAAAGGTGACAGGCGTGCAGACGATGGAAATTGGATGGAGCTGCCAGTGTGGAAAAATAATAAGAAAATCTTGCTGCTTCTGGGGCCATGTTGGGGTCCATTCCCCCGGTGCATCTGCATCTTGCCTACGCAATGTGTTCGACAGTGACCATCATAGCCATGTATTGACGGGCGGGCACTCGCATCTTGTCAAGTATCTTTTCACGCTTCAGCGAACCTTGAAAATTTGTGATATAATACTACGCAGTATCCGTATGTACTTCGTAGACAGATGGCGTATATCCTACCATGTCCATACAGATTGGCAGGGTGGCTGGACGGAATAAGCTATGGGATGTATAATAATACGCATGCAGATGCAAAACATGGCCTGCATGTCTTCACTAAATACATAAAAATAACTTATACACAAGCTCTCATTTTCACTGCAAATTCTCATCCACTCATCATTGTGGCACGATACCTAAAAGGGGGGAAAGCATCTAGGTTACCCCGTCTCACTTTCTCGCCCAAAGTCCGCTTGCGCTCGCCATTGACGAGTCTGACGAGTCAGCAGTGAGCGAGCACCTTCACAAATTCTCCTGCACCGTATCCGTCCGTACCTTGTGGTTAGCACCTCTGGTCATGACCTCATCCGAACCGTAGAGCCCGTCCATTTTCCGCATCCACCTAACCTCCCTTGTCTGACTCTCTCACCTCACACCCACCACTCACATCACAAGTGACAATACCCGGTCATGAACGTCTCACGGCCGGTGAGCCGCGCCCTCCGTGCCGTCCCGCGGTTACGCCCGGCATCACCATGGCGGCGGCCTCTGCCACCCTCCGCCTCCGCCGCCGTCGCCGGTCATCAGCTCCGGCCGTACTCCGACGTCTCTGCCGCCGATCTGCAATTCGGCCAGCCGGTACATGAGACTCACCCTCACATTCTGAAGGCCGGAGAGAGTAAGTCAACTCCCGCCATTCTCACTCATACACAATTGAATCTCATGGTTGCCTGTCTACTTCAAGTGAATCTCATGTGAATGGCCCATGAGAACAAAGATATCTTGCATCCTCAACCTATACCTTAGACTAATACCGCCCTCCAGTCACACCCGGCATAACAGCCCAAGAATACCATGACCGCCGCGCCCGCCTCGCTGAGCGCCTCCCAGACAATGCCGTCGCCGTTCTCGCCGCCGCAGACCTCAAATACCGCTCTGGCGCCGTCTTCTTCCCCTACCGCCAAGACTCCAACTTTCTCTACCTCACCGGCTGGAATGAGGGCGACTCGGTCGCCGTCATCCGCAAGACGGGCAAGGACTACGGCGACTACGAGTTCCACCTCTTCGCCAGGCCAAAGGAGCCCGTCGCCGAGCAGTGGATGGGCGCCCGCAACGGCGTCCAGGCCGCCCTCGATATCTTCAACGCCGACAAGGCCGACGACATTGCCCGCATCGACCGCTGCCTCCCCGAGATCCTCAAGGGCGCGAGTCGGGTCTACACCGACATCCCGAAGCCGGGCAGCGAGCAGAACTCGGCCAGCAACGGCAGCAGCAGACTCGTAGCCAGCCTCATGAACTCGGACAAGTCCTGGTTCCCCTCCGTCCGGATCCCGCTCTATCCCGTCATCAACCAGCTCCGCGCCATCAAATCCCCCGCCGAGATTGCAAACATGCGCCGCGCGGGCCAAATCTCCGGCCGCGTCATCACGGACGCCATGCGCCGCTCCTGGAACAGAGAAAAAGACCTCCACGCCTTTCTAGACTACCGCTTCACCGCCGACGGCTGCGAAGGCCCGGCCTATGTCCCCGTCGTTGCCGGCGGCCGCAATGGCCTCTGCATCCACTACGTCGTCAACAACAACACCATCCCGCAAGACGAAATGCTCCTCGTCGACGCGGGTGGTGAGTACGGCACCTACATC